ACCAAGTAAAATGTGAGAAACGAAGGGAAAAAAGCAGCCTCTCCTTTTTAAGTACTTTTCCGGACTCGGTGTTTCTGTGGTGCTAGATTAACAGTGAGAAAAAGGTGAGCAGCATAAAGCAAAGTTCACAGCATACATACCCTGTCCAGTCACAGAGCACTAATTTAGCCGCATTTTCTATGTCAGGAACAGCTCCCCTTTTCAGCATGCCCCTCTTGTGAGCCAGTAAAGATAAAAACTCTTCAGGGTCCCTGAAATCTGGGATATTATAGTGCATCATTACCTAGGGTAAAAGAAAATGGCACATTTAGAAAGAGATGCCCACTTTTCTCACAGTTTAAGGAACGAAAGAGTGAATAAAGCTGGATGACAGTGAGGACAGAGTAAGTGTTCTTCCCTTGCATGTGGGAGTAAACATTACAAAGCAAAATGCCTACTTCATCAACAAACTCATCTGTCATTCACCCAGACTCGTGGGTGTAGAGAGACAGCACACTGGTCTGTGAAAACACTTCTCACAGAACTGAAAGGCAATTAGGCTTAGGTTAATTTGCTTGAAACTAGAGTGAAATCAGAGTTGGATCTGAGGTCTTCACTGTAACCATAGGACACAGAAAATATCATCATTTTTCACTCTGATTGTGTGGTGCTGAGGTCTTTTTAAAAGCAATGCTGTTTACTCTGGCTGTCATGATTGTTCATGGCATGCTGGTTCTGCCTTCTGTTTGTAAGGATGAAGGATCACACTCGGCATTGGCACTTTGCATGGTTAGGGACAGCAGTTCAAACACTAATCAGAATTAGCTAAAGCAAAATGAACTTTCATTATTGGGCCTAAGAAACCTACAGAGAAGTCTGGTGCAGTTAGAGATGTAGAAAAAAGCTGGAGCTCACCTGCTGCTTACTGCAGTGATTTATGATGGCATTTACTCCTTCAAGCACATCTGCTGGGACTGATCCTTCGGGGTCTATGATACTTCTCAAGGCCAGAGCCAGGGCACTGTTGGAAGGATCTGCAATTATACTTGGACTGTCCAGCATCTTTGTCTGCTTATCAAGGTGCACAGCTTGAATGGACCTGTTCAGAGAGAAATGCACTGTGAGCAGATAATCAGTGAAGGACTGGTAATGGTAAGGAATGCAAGACACAAAGCTCAGTGTTGGATTGAATGTACTTCATACAGTCAGTTTCCATGTTTTGTCATCATGTGCTTTGTGTAGGATAGAAATTTAAACAAACAAAACATCAAGTTTATGCACTGTATCCCCTGAAGAGAGCTCGCATCACACTTACCAATACCTTTCATCTTGCAAATTTTATTGTGCATTTAAAACTGCACACTGGTGTGCTTTGCCCCTAATGGACTGAAGCACAAACTCAAGGTAACTGAAACACAACAAACAAGGAAAGGAACAGCTTTTATCAGACTGAGCTTACTTGGTAACACCTCTTGTCAGGCCAACATTGCAAGCACGTTTTCCCTTGAGACTGTTGATTATGCTGCTCTTTCCCACATTAGGGAAACCTGAGGAAAAATCACATAAATCTTTTATTTATCAGCTTTTTGACACTGATCAAAACTATTTCTTCCAGGTATCTTTGCTAAGGTAAGCATCAGTGTGAGATCAGAGTTGGATCTGAAGTCTTCACTACAGAAGTAAGACAAAGAATGTATCCTCATTTCTCACACTTGAAGGATTTGTGGTGCTACATTCCAAGGAATTTTTGTCAGGCATGAGGAAGGCAGTGCCAGTGAGGCACATATCCTGCCTTCCTTGTGCTGCCACAGATCCCCATGCTGCACATGGAAGTGCACCATGGACCACTGTCAGCTGAAGTACAACACTGAGAGCTTTAGATCAAAGAACAATAAATTACTAGAAAGCTCATTAGCAAACCAGGTGTCAGCAGTTTTACCCAGTCTGTAATACATGATCCCAAAGCTTTATGGGAGAAGGGAACTCCTCCTGTTTCTCCAAACACTTACCCACTACCCCGACCTGAATGGCTTTGTCTTGGGTCTTGCCATACTCTTGAAGAAGCTTTGAAAGGCATTTGCTTCCAAAATACTGAGAGGATTCTGAGAAATCAATACGTCCATGTCTTTTTGTGACCTGTACCTGCTACAGGATTCAAAGGCAAAAAAAACCCCAGGGTCAGGAGCTATTACAGAAGATAAAATATGGATACTTAGATTTATTCATCTACTGCAATTTCAGTGGTAAGAATTCCCCCACTGTACTGCAAAGCTCAGTCCAAGTGTGAAGGCACATCCATCAGTCATAGAAGTGCAATCAAATCAGGAGAAAAGGAATTTTAAAGATGTTTCAACATGTATGATTGCAAACACTACTTTCTCATGGGACAGCCTGCAGTGCTCTTACCATAGTCTTGTCCTTCATCATTGTTGCTGACTTAAAAGCAACTGTTGGAAACTCCTTCTTCAAACAATTCAACCATTTCTCTACGTTGTCCTTTGGCACTAAATCTGGAAAGAAGAGCAGTTCCTTCACTTCTTAAATTAATCTCATAATGATAAATAACATTTGTCTGAGAACTCTAGTATAAAGTACTGGGTACATTCCCCAAAGGCACACAGAGTCTCTTTCTGCCTTAGCAGAACACATCACAATTACATCTATGGCCTCTGTATCAGGTTTTTAATGCTGGGGTCTTGCTAGAAGCTGTATGGTACAGAATGATGTTCTGTGAAGAACTATCCCACAATCCTTGCAAAGGCTAGTCTACTACAAAGTTTCCTTTGCTCTTGTTTTATTTTATTTATTTAGCTGCTGGTAACTTGGTAATTTCCAGCTTTTCCGTGAGCTCAGAGTTGGATCTTATGTCTTCAATGGAATCTCAGATTCCTTTAAAATCCTCATAGCTCACCTACCACAGAACCACAGTGCCAGTATCCCTTTGAGAAAACATGTGTTTCTTACCAATTTTGTTCAGAACCAACAACAGCTTTTTGTTTCCTCCAGAACAAGTGACAGCTTGCTCCAGCTGAGGACACCGGCAGCCCATTGGATCTCTGGCATCCAAAACCTCCAGAACCACATCTGAGGCCTCAAGCACCTGGGTCAGAAAAAGACAAGAATCAAGTAAGACATCACAGACCAGATGACAACTCTGGTACAGCTGTGGCTTACAAAAATTATTGTAAACACTTTCTATTGTAAAATCCCTTATTTTAGGGTTCTAGTTTATCATAGACAAACTTTGTGTTCTAAACAGTAATACAAAAAACAGGAAAATAACAAGTGGTCTTATTGCTGACTCTCGTCTAATGATATAAAAATAGTTAAAGCATTTCACCTTCATGAGCTCCCTGCAGAATGAGTTCTTAGAATTTTTATTCAGCAGCTTTTTAGTATTTCCTTTTGATTTGCCAGAGGATTCCTAAAGCAAATGAAAAGAAAAGGAAATTATTTAAATGAGAATTAGTGTCTAATACTTGTGTGGATGTTCAGCATGAAAATGTAACATGCTGCTTAAGAAGGTGCAGTTTCAGGATGACTTACAGTTCAAGGAATTAAAATCACACAGGACCCCTACCTTTCCCTCTGTTTTCTCCTTGATTGTATCTGCACTCTTTGTAGCTTCCAGTTTCCTCCTCTTTTCATGTTCTTTCTGCCTGTTGAGCTTCTGCTTTTGTTTCAGTTCTTCAAGCTGAATACAAACAAAACCCCAGGCAAGATAAAACATCTTTGAAGGTGGTAAAGAACAAATGTTCTTTCTCCCCATTTCTGACCCAAGCTCCTGGGACAGTTCAGTTAAGAGTCCTGACAGTCCAAGTGACTCCAGGAACTCTTTCTTTTGCATCCTACCTAGAGGCTTGATCCCAAAACAGCAGATCTGCTGCCACCACTACAGCTGATAAAGATGCTGTTTCCACATCACACCAATCCACACTGGAGACAGCAGATCCCCATTTTCTGTGCAATCACATAACACCATGATTTAACTCCCAGAATTCTGATAGCACCACAGGGAATTCTGACTGCATTAGAAATGACACCTCCAGCATGTTCACATGCACAGTGAGGAAATGAAGTGAGGTTAAAAATAAAAGAGCAAATCATTGTACACTTTACAATGCTGGAAATAAATACATTATTTTTCCAAAGCATGAGTCTACTGGGACAATCTGCAATCTGCCGTGACTGCCCCTCTGAGTGCACACTTATGCACACAAAGCTTCCTTAAAGAAAGGGATGGTCTCGGTTCTTGTCCTCTTTACCACAAACTGTATTTTACCCTCTGCTTTCTTTGCTCGGCTTCCCGCAAAAGCTGTTCCTTAAACGGCGCAGCACCGGGAATTCCGGGGTCTTTCTTGGGCTTTCTGTGTCCACGTTTCTTGGCCTCCTTCCTGACTTTTCGGTGGTGTTCTCTGATCTGAAGGCAGGCACAGGAAAACCTTCTCAGTTTAAGGCCAAAATATCAATGTACCGGCTCCAAAATGGCCAAACGCAGCGCTGGGGGCCGCGCTCGGCCGGGCCTCACCTTCTTCTGGATCTTGTAGCGCTTGTGGCAGCTCAGCCTCTTGCTCGCCTTCCTCAGCTCTGCAACGCACCGCGCCCGTCAGCGCCGTGTACCGACACACACATCCCCGCCGCCGCCACCGTTCCCCCAGCCCCACTCCCCGATTCCCGCGTCCTCGATCGCTGCCGCTCGTTTGGCCATGGGCGGCCGCCACCCCCCGTGCCGAGCCGCCGCCCCCATCCGCGCCCTCCTCTCCCTGCCGGCCCTCCCTGCCCGTCCCGGTGCCGCTCCCGGTGCCCGGCCCGGTGCTCACTCGGCCGCTTCATGGCGCCGCCACGTGCTCCCGCCGGCGGCCGCTGCCGTAAAGCACGCCGGCGCTGCCCCGCCGGGGTGTCGCGCGGGTTCGGCGCGTTGGGCGGCCGGGCGCGCTTTGCGGCAGCGGCGGCGGCGGCGGCACCGGCGGTGTCGGGACGGGCGGTACCGGCGGGACGGGACGGGACGGGCCGGGCCGGGTCCCGCGCACCCACCCCGGGTCGGCCGCGGCTGCGGGAGGCGGAGCGGAGCCAGCGGGGTAAGCGGCGCGGGCGGGGCGCGGGCCGGAGCTTGGAGGCCGCTGCCTCCCTTTGTGTGGCGGCGCCGCCCGAGCGCGCAGCGGCCCCGCCGCGCCGGGCCCGGGGCGCCGAGCGCCGCCTGCCCCTGTCACCTGCCCCGGGCCTGAGCCGTGTCGCTGTCCCGGTGCCCGGCCGCTGGCCCGGGTGCGCCTCGGCCCTTGCCGCCCTGTTCCCGCCGCGTTCCCCGTCCCGGCGCCGGGCCGGGCCCGCGGGGTGACAACGGCCGCTACCGGGGCGGGCCCGGGCACTGCAGCGGGTCCTGCCCGCTGTGGCGGCACCGCGGGCCGGGCCCGGGACACGGTCCTGTCGGCCGGTGTCGGGAAAGGGGTTTTCTTTGTCTCCTGCTGGAGATAACAGCTCAGCTCCCGGGCAGGGGCTCCGGCGCTTCGGGGAAATTACATATTTGGTATCTTTGCTTCTTGTCCCGGTATTGTTAAAACGATGGATGTGTTGTCCCTCTCGCTTTTTTTACCAGCTATGCCCTTTTACAGTGCCTGGTTGCTGCCAGCCCCCTCTTCCCATCCCGTAGTAGGTTTCAGTGGGATTGGTAACCGGGGGAAATTCTGGCTGCGTTTCCTTCCCTTGTTCCCTTTGCTAAATTTACCGTGTTTCGTGTTTCTGGTGAAACGTGGGAGATCCTGATAGCAATAAGTGCTACCCGTGGTATCTATTGGGTTTTAGCTCTCCTCTGCCTGCAGGCAGAAAATGAGCCGTGTGAGAGAATGCATTGTTTTATTTTGAGTGTATTATGTCCGATGTGAGTAAAACCTGTTCGTGTAGGGAGATTGGAGTGGGTGACACCTGTGGTCCTCGTTTACAGCTTTTGGTAGACAGCCTTCCACCCGTTGTGTATATATCGGTGTACATGTGAATTAGTAATGGCCAGAGCATTTCTTGCTGTGTTTTAGTGACATTTTTATGGCTGGTGAGGGCAATTACCAAGGAAATGCTCAAGCTCCTGTTGCACTGGAGGTGGCTCATTGCTAGCGGTGGAGATTCTTGGTGTGGCTGTTGAGAGACTTGTGAACCAGCAGTGCAATTGCTGAAGAAACTCTGGGAGAGAGGTTCTTCAGTAAAACTGTGTGTTTCTGTGCACAACTGAGTTCTCTGTGCTTAGGAGTGTGGCAGTCTAGGGAGAAGTTTGTGTTTTGGAGCCTCACCTTCAGTGAGTGTTATATCAGCAGGTCTCTCACTGAGAGTTTGTGATTTTGTCCAGACTGATACATGTTTTACATAGTTATTAGAGGAGAAAAATGTGTTTTGGAGGCTGTGTATGAATGGTGAGGGTATCTTGATCACAGCAGTGTCAAAGCGTGGCTGAGAGCCACAGCATTGTGCCTCAGTGGACATGGAACAGCTGATGTGCAGTTTGCAGGCAGGTGCTGGTTGGGAGGTTCCCAAGTCTTTATTTTAGGATAGGACTGGACTGAGTGTACTCTTGGGTTCCTGGTTGAAGCAGAATTATTGATTCTGGTCCCTCCTGCCTTTCTTCCACAACCAAGGAACATGTTTCCCAGCACGTGTCTGGTGGAGTCTCTCCAGACTGTAGCCCTCAGACGAAAGTTGGAAGCAGTGCCAAAGCGTGAGGCTGTTGTCAGTTTCCAAAATGAATTGCCTGCTTATAAACCGGAGAGCTTCTCTGCATGTCCGTGTTATGGAAACGTCCAGAGTGCTGAACAGGAAAAGAATCTCTCTGGGGTTTGATTGAAGGAAAGCAGGAGTGGGAAGAACTACATAGAAGCAAACATTTTGCCATAAAATTGTTCTGTATATTTCACATGGAATTTCTGGGGAAAAAGTCAGACTTGGAGGCTGCTTAGAAATTGAAACAGTGTATTTTTAGTGTATGGCTGCATACCTAATGCTTACATCTGAGTATAAAAACCGACTCTGAAGAGTGATGGAGGTGCATCATCTTAGAGTTTATTGTTTGTTGACCTTAAGATCATGTTGTTATAAGCACTGTACTGCTTCACATTCTGTAACTTTTACAGCTTTCTGGTTTGTACTCTCAGGTCAGGTATCACTTCTGTTTACACTCTGTTCTGCTTGATGAATCATTCTCTAGCAAGTGGCTGTGAAATCTGTAATGCATATTCAGGAACATTAGAGAAATGTATTTTTACTGTGACAAGGACAGAAGTGTCTAGCATTCTGTGTACAAAATTACTTGCTAGAGTTTCTGCTGGGCTAAAAAAAGTTGCCTTCTGTTTCTTGCTTTTTTCTCTGTCACTGTAATTATCCACTTTATTCTTTGATTTTATTCTTTATCTACCTACTCTGAATTTCCTTCCCTCTCTCTTTCCTTTTTCTTGTCTTCCAGTTGTGGCTGTACTAACACCATTACTGGTTTGCCACTCTTAGAGTGTCCCCTTCTCGCAGTATCTGTGCTTGCCCATCAGACACTATGAGGAGATTGGCTTTTCGAGGTGCTGGTTCTACTCTGGTAAATCTGGTAAATTATCGATTGTATCTCCATCCCTTTGCCATGGCCTTTTGCTTTTCTTTTTCCTAACTGTTAATTATTCCTGCCTTATACATCTCATGTGTGTGCCTGAAGTTATCTCTGTCTCTGACAAAAATACTTTAGTGTGGTTATGTTGTGCTGCCACACCTTGTCAATCATCTGAGTGCCTCCTAAAAGAAATTCCTGGATTTGGTTAGAAAATGGGGATAGGCTGGGATAGATGCATCTCTTCTGTCCTCAGCCTTTGAGATAGCCACAAATAAAGATACTTTTCTGAGGCTGTCACTGGAAGTTGGAAAAGAGCCAGCAACTTGTTCCATAAATTACCATAGTTGTTGGAGGGTGGTTATTCATTTGTCACTGCCTGTGTCAGTAAATGCAAAACGATGGCCAAAAGAGGAGGGGGCTTTTTCTGTTTCTCCATGGTTGAGCCATTCATCCCACCCATAAAGTGGGAATGGGAGGTCCCACGGTGATCCAGACATTTTTTCACTTGAACATAACACAAGGTATTCTGTGGCCCTTTTCATTTGTAATTTGTTTTGGTTGGTTGGTTGGTTTTTTGATTCGTTGGTTTGTTTTTCATGTTTTTTTTAGTTTGACATGGAATGAAGTGTCTTTACACCAAAACTGAGCATGTGTCTCTGTACAGCTTTTTTGTTAAAAATAGTGGTTTTTTGTTTAGTTGTCTTGCATGGGATGGGGTATGAAAATGTGGAGAGTTTAAGAATATATTCTGTGAAGATCTGCTAAATTCACCTCCATCAGTGTGAGCTTGGGGGTTTCTGGCCTTGCTGTCATTGGTAACTATAAAACTGTAGGAGCATTTTGATTTCCCTTCACTCTTGGGAATTTCCACAAAGTTGGGGTTTACAGAAATGACTTAACTGGCCTGTAGCATTTGGCAAATATATCATCAGAAGCTTTGCTAGCTCTGTAGGTAGCTCTCAGCAGAGGGTTTGGATGCAATGCCAGGGCTTTAAGAATGTTTCTGTTCATTATAGAAGAAGTTGGATTCCATGGGTTCCAAGAGGCGAAGAGCTACCTCTCCTTCCAGCAGCATCAGCGGTGGAGACTTCGATGATGCCCATCACTCCACCAATATACCAGGCCCAAGCAGGAAGAGGAGGAGACTTTCCAATCTCCCAACTGTAGATCCTGTTAGTACCTTCTTACTGATTGCACCATTTTTCTTGTGGGTACTGTGTTCCTGTCTGGAATATGCTGGACTGTAAAATTAATGACCGTATTTAGCACATGTATCCTGGTCCTGAATCTGTTCCTGCCTTGGCTGAGCTTTGTTTAGGACCTCCTTCAACTTTGGCTTTGGCTTGGTCCTGGCTCACCACTTTCATCTTTTTCTTTGCTGTATTGTTTTTGCTGCTTTTCTCTTTTTGCTGATGATTTTAACAGAAGGAAGGATGTTGGAGAATGAGCTGAAAGCATAACGTGCAGAAGTTGAGAGCTGTGTCTGCATAGCAAATGCAGAGGGATGAGTGGGGAATGGCAGAGGCAGTGATTGCTGAAGTGTACAATGCCTCTGCTATGCCTCTGCATGAGCAGTCTAATGTTAATTAACTGCAGGGCAGAAGAACCCCTGTTGTTATTGTAGATGCCTGTAGCTTGGAGAGAATTGCACTGAATTAATTTACATTTTGGGTGTTTTACTTAGAATTAGCATTGAAATAAAGCTCCCTGTGTTCAAAAAATAAATGGAAATCCTGCAGTACCTGGCACACTTGTCAGGTATCCTGCTAAAGCATGAGGTTCTCCAGTTGTGTCTGACTTTTGCTATGGGGCATGCTTTGGATTGGCAGCTTGTCTTTCCCTTTGTAAACAGGCTTTTGTTTGTTGCCTCCTTCAAATTCTCTTCCTTTTCCTTATTTATTGTTCTTGCCTTTCAGATTGCTGTCTGCCATGAGCTCTACAACACCATCAGAGACTACAAAGATGAGCAGGGCAGGCTCCTTTGTGAGCTCTTCATCAGGGCACCCAAGAGAAGGTAAGGCCATTGGTCTGGTCAAACCTTGAACCTGAGTTTTAATCAGAGAGAAGTGGAAATTGATAAATACTTCAGCAAAAATTTGTGAAAAATCTAAGCTACATTTGTCATCGTTTCACATCAATGTTTTATCCAAGTGTTTGATGTAATTATTCAATGGGACGTCCTTACATTGGTGCTCCTTTTCAGGGAAAAATAAAGGATACGTTGAATTAATTTAAAATGTTTCTTGTGACATCTGCCTAAAACATCTATGCCTTTGATTGTAAGATCTTCTGTGTTAGTGGTGGGATGTAATCCTAAGGACACAGCTTGGGAAGGTTAATAGAAGTGACCCTTGAAAATGCAGTAGCTAAGTAAGAGGCTGATATTTTTCTTAAACTCAGAAAACTGAGGACAGTAACAGGACATGCATGAAGTGAGCTGACTGATAGAGCACTGTCCTTTTAGCTGTAATAAAAATATATTGGAACTTTCTTTGGTTTATTTAGTCATAAACATGCGTCAGCTTTAGTGCTGTGGTTTGTGCTTTACTGCTTGGAATATGATGCCTGTTTTTGTCATTGCAACAGAAATCAGCCAGATTATTATGAAGTGGTTTCTCAGCCAATTGATTTAATGAAAATCCAGCAAAAGCTGAAGATGGAGGAATATGATGATGTGAATGTGCTGACTGCTGATTTCCAGCTTCTCTTTAACAATGCAAAGGCTTACTATAAGGTGAGAAAACGACATGTAAAGGCTCAAATCCATTGTAAAAGGAGTAGAGATGTTCAGATTTTGCCTTGGTTAGGCCAAAACCTCTTCAGTTTAGCGTGAAGTATTATTGGTAAGAGAACAGCACATATTGCAGTTATTTGCATATATTTCCATAATGTTGACTGTATATTTCTAAGATGTCCTGCTATAGCAATTTTTTCTGTGGAAAATTGTAAAATAATGTGGGGATGATCTTCATGTAGTTTTCCAGAAGAGATCAAAAGCAAAAATGGAGATATAAAATGAGAAAAATATTCCTCTGTCAAAGCCTTCTCATTTTACAATACCCTCTGTGTAACCCTTTGAAATGGAGAAAGATTTATTTTTTTTTTTCCTCCCAGAAGGAAACGTTTATGCTAACAGCAGCCTTATAGTGGGAGTGTTGAATCTTTCTCTTCCATTTGCCACTTAATAAAATGAAAAAAAGGGCACATTGACTGTCATGGTCAGTGATGATAGATGTGAATGTAATATCATCAAGACAACCCCCATGGCAATTCCTCCAAACTGTGTGTGTATTTTATTACAGATATTAATGGGTGTTACTGCAGTTTTCATAAGGAAGTGGTAAAAAAACTGGAAAGGCTATGTTAAATCCATAAACCAGTGAAATTGTATGTGATGAATGAGATGATACAGCAAATCTAAACCTGCTAATATTGCCTTTCACGTATCTTTGACTTTGGAGATGATCAAAATGAGTGCTTTCTGGGGTAGCCTGGTGACATCCAGAAAGGCAGTGTTTGTTTTACTTGTGTGTAGTAGCTTCTCGGAAACAATCAGATTTATGGGTTAATGCATTTGCACATTCTGCTTCCAGGAGGAAGAGTACAAAAATTTTCAGATCCATTCTGTACTCCTGGAGCTTTGCAAGGCACTCAGCATGAAAACCCCAACATTAATGGATTTTATATGAGGGAGAAAGACTTGATGGCAGGAAAGAATGATTGGGGTTTTACAGAATGTGTGCTGCTTTTGCCTGTAGAATTGTGGGCTCAAAATTTAACTGTGTCATAGAGATTTTGCATTAGACTAAAAATAGGTATCCATTATTCCAGGATGAATGCATGTTGGCATTTCCAGAGAATTGTGGAACTGTGAGCTGGAGGTGTGGCACACAAACTTAACCCTCTTCTTTTCACCTTTTACCTTTCCCCAGCCAGCTCCATGGCATGGACAAGCCAGGGACATTGATTGATTGTCAAGGTCTTTATTCCAGCAGGTGTTTCATTGGCAGTGCTCCAGCAGAACAGCAGCCTTTGGGTTTTTTTTTGTATTTTTGGTCAAGTCTCTCACTCCTGAGCATCTTGCATTTATACAGAATGAAGTAGATTTGTGGAGCAAAATACCCTTAAAAAATCTGCTCTTAATAAGCAGCACCTGGTCTAATGTGCTGAAAATATTTAAGCCTAATAAGGCAAGATTAAGAACAGTTCTCATGATGGTTTCTCATTTGTATTACAAGCTGTCAGAGGTTGAGAGAGTGAAGTAAGAAGAGTGCAGTCAGCAGCAATAAGGTGACATTATCTGCAGGAATACCTGAAATAGAGCCGAAATGACAGAGGAAAGGGAAGGAAAAGTACATGGGTGAAAAAGCTGTCTTTGTTCTGGGTAGTCTTAATAGGCATGTGCTTGTCTGCCACGACCAGCTCTGTATTTTTAAAAGTTAATTTTCTAACTAATGTTTCTACCTCTTCTAAAAGATGTATCTAGAAGTGTCCCCAGGTGGTAGTGTGTCGTCAGGTTCTTTGGAATTTCCCAGTTAATGCTGAGTGCAAACCATTGCAATACTTTCAAATGTATTTATTGGTATTCTTCTGTAGAAGTTAATTTTCAGGTGCCACACAATGACAGCAGTATTGGCTTAAACAGAATTTCTGGCATACTGAAATTTAGTCTGTTTTAAATGCTGGTGTTGTACTTGAAAACCCAGTGATTTCTCCAGATTCATCTAGTTGGTTTGTCCAAGCCTCAACCCAGTTAATTTTATTGCTAAGTTTTCTGAAAGACTTGGATGCTTTTGAGTGATACAGGTTATATTTTCTAATGCTTATTGTGATTCTTAACTCCTCTATTGAAGAACAAGTGAAGCAGGAATTTCCCAAGTTTTCTATTACTTATTTAATGTATTTAATACCTTTCAGCTAATAAGTTAGAAATTTCCCCCAGATGAGAATGCCCTGAATTTTGACTGGAGTGTTTGATTTGTTTTTGCAGCCAGATTCTCCTGAATATAAAGCTGCCTGCAAACTGTGGGAGCTGTATTTGCGCACAAAAAATGAATTTGTTCAGAAAGGTGATCCTGAGGAGGATGATGATGATGACGAAGGACATGACAATCAAGCAAATTCTGAATTAGTAAGTGTGGGCATGACAGCTGCAGAAGGGGGAGGCTGCACCTGTGGATGTCAGCTGACTGAGAGGGTGAAAAATCATTGAGTAATATTTTCATTGTTAAATTATGCCCTAAAGGGTATTTCTTATGCAAGTTTATTGGTTAATCACTTCACAGCATTGTATGGGTGTTTCACTTTTGCCTAGCAATAAAAAGCTGTGAGGGTTTCTGGTATGGGTAAAGCATGGTTATGGTTTAGTTGGAATAATACGAAGTGTCCTTAAATTCATGCCAACATTGAGGTTTGTTGCAAGCAAGATTCATGTCTAATGACATCAGTTATCAGCAAGTGCCCCATTCAGTCAGTGCAGCTGTTCCTGGAGTGCTACAAGAGGAAATTTCCTGGAATGTGTGTCTGACAGTCTGCAGTGTAAAGCTGAAGTCAGAGTTTTCTAGTGTACCTTTATCTACATAAACAATGTTGTCTTCAGAAGTTGCATCCGTATTTTGTAGCTGTTTTTTTCTGCCTTTGAAGTGTAAATTCCTGTATTTCAGCACAACTTGAAGCACTCCACTCTGGCTGCTATTAAAACTTCTCATGATTTTTGTTTCCTACATTAGTCATCTCCAGGTTACCTGAAGGAAATTCTGGAACAGCTTCTTGAAGCTGTAGCTGTTGCCACAAACCCCTCAGGACGCCTCATAAGTGAACTGTTTCAGAAACTTCCTTCTAAAGTGGTGAGTATTTGAACTATGTAGGTTGTGTTCTAAGTTGGGAGCCTGGACATTTCTGTAACTGCTGTTACAGGCTGTGATGGCCATGCTCAGGGTGCAAAAAACTCCACCTGTTTTTACTGCTCTGTTTCAGAACAGTGGTGTTCAGGTTTTGTGGTGAAAATTTTAACCAGCAGAATAAATATTTTGAAAACCATCACCATGGATTTGATTTTCAATCAAAACTGGTCCCTTATGTCAGTTCATTGATGAATTATAATTTATTTTATCTGCCTTATGAACTGGCTTGTCCAAGTTGGAGCCTAGTGCCATACTTTTATATATGATACGTAAATAAAATAAGAGATAAAATATCTCATATTTTGAGGCTTACACTATTCTTATCTTCAGTTCATCTAAGGCTCATTCTGTGAGCTGTTAGAACAAAAGCTTTGTGACTGTTTATAGTAATACATAAATTATTTCTGTTTTCCAGCAATATCCAGATTATTATGCAATAATAAAGGAACCCATAGATCTTAAAACTATTGCCCAAAGGATACAGGTATGAACATATTAATGTGTCAGGGTACAGCCTTTTTTAACAATAAGCATTCCAGAATTGTTAGAAGTCAGGATTTATGGTGGCAGGACAGGCAGTGTGTTTTCCCTTGCTATTAAAAAACCTGCACACTGTGGTGATTCAGTGTTCTGTGCTGGGTTAGTGCTGCAGAAGTAGCTGTGTGGAAGATCAAGCATTGTGAGCTGTGGAGTGCTGGCTTTGAGCCAGAATATCTCAGGTTCCTTGATGTTTAATGGCTTAAAGCAGTTCCATGACAAGTGCTGCTCATGTAAAACATTGGAGTACTGAGGCTTGGTTGTGCATTATCATCACCTACTTCTGTTCTAGTGCTATAAATAGATGTTTTGTACTGATGCATTTTTCATCTTACTTCTCCAGTAATTTCAAATACTGTTCTGTAATTCTAGCATTTTGTGTAGTAGGGAGGGATGGGACATAGACTAATTGAACTAGAGAATAAAGTTAAAACAGCATTTTGTCAGAACTCTTCAAAATGAAGGCTGTATGATCTGTTAAGTGTTTTTTTTCAATCTTAGTATTCATGAGCTTTATAAAGACTTAGCATATATGTATGTTACTGTCTTTGTCTGATTACTTTTTCCAGAGACTTATCTGTTGTCTTTACAAAAAAGTTGTTCTTCTATGAACATTCCCTTTATTGAATATGAATTCCTTTGCTTTTCATTATTGGCTTAGCTCTCATGCTGTCTGAAGGTTGCCACTTTAACCAGTTCTGCTTCTTGTTGTATAGAATGGAACTTATAAAAGCATTCATGCCATGGCCAAGGACATAGATCTTCTGGCAAAGAATGCCAAAACCTACAATGAGCCTGGATCCCAAGTATTCAAGGTTAGTTTCAGCTGTTCATAGTGTGATTTGAGTTCAGATTTTCTTGACTACTTTCTGTACTGGTTGATCCTTAAATAAGTCTTGAGCATAAGGCTCTCAAGACTCTACATTTTTTTTAATAGCTTTTAGTGGGCTTTTCTTTTTTATATTGCTTTTAGTAGAATTGGGGTACAAAAATGAAAAAAAAATGAGCTTGAAGTTGCTCAGGTCTTCTATTCAGTTTTTTCAGGCCACTGTAAAAATACTGTGTGGGAGTATTTCAGGCAGACTTTGTTCCATGCTTCATTTCTCATGCAAAATTGTTTTATGTCAAAATGTAAAAACACCTTAATATCTGTTTTAGATAGCTGGATATATCTGATTACAATATTATTCATTTTCAACATTAAACAAAAAAAAAAATCTTTCAATTGACAGGATGCAAATGCGATTAAAAAGATATTTAATATGAAAAAAGCTGAGATTGAACACAGTGAGTTGGCCAAGTCAAGTCTCCGAATCAGGTACTGCAAATAGAGTTCTTTCTATAATCTCACATAAAAACCTCTATTGACATTCCCTTAATTGTGCTGTGGAGAGTATAGTGGGAAATGATGGCTTGAAGACTTAGATTAGTGTTGTTTTAGAAGTTGTACATTGGTTAAAGTAGTTTTTGAAAGAAAGCTTTCTTCATTGAAATTCTTCTGTGTGAAATATTTTTGTGATGTACTTGATTGTGAAAAATAGTGTCAGTGCTTTAATAAGTTCTGGCCAACTTCCATCACATGTTTATAAGTTAATAACAGAAAATGAGTAGTGAGGAAAAAAGTGCTTTGTTTTATTGAAAAGTGCTCGATATTCTTGGACTTTGTTAGGAACTGAAATTGAAGGGCTCACAGTTAGATAGGGGCAGAAACACAGGAATAGAACCTTGGGCAAAAGATATGTAGAGGGAAGTCCACTCGTGATTGAAAAGCAGTTTTAGCTATGAGAAGAGGCACAGGAACCTGCAGATCTGGATTTATTAATCAGTGAAGCTGAGATTTGGTCCTGAATATGCAGGTATAAAAACACTTGATGAGAGTTGATAGCTCTATTTGTTTCATGGGATAATTTTACTTAGGAAACAGCATTTTCTTCCTGTGAAAATTCACAGTGTGCAGAGAAGTGATGCAGTCATTATAAATGTTTCTTAACTGAAATGCAATTAAGTTTGTTCTCATATATACAGTTTACTTATGAGTAACACTCAAAAGTAAGTTTAGATATTATTTGCCAATGTGAGCTAAGCAATTTGTCCCCCCAAAAAATTAAGCAATGTCCTGAAAGCCATGCAAGGAGTTGGGAAACTCTTCTCAGGTGGAATCTCTTTCTATATTAGGGCTGTTTACTGGTATTTGGTGCTGGGAATGCCACTGTTGTAATTTCCTGCAAAGGTTTGTATGCTACAACTGGAAACACTGTCACTGCCTTACTTAACTGAAAGGTAGTTTATTTTTTTCTGTGTGTATGGTGTCAGTATTAAAAGTGTGGCCTAGGATTATTGTGTGAAAGAAGTGGAAGTCGCCTGGTTGATTTTTACTACTTGGTGTTTTGAGAAGTAGTTTTTCTGGTTGGTTTGTTCAGTATCAGCATCCATCCCATGGCTGGGTGAATCATTGTTGGAGCATATAAAAATAAAAAGCAGAAATACTCTCTAAGGAGTAATTCCTGACACATAGGTGAATAATTTTCCTTCTTTAAAGTATGTGCAGAAGACTTTGATTCTACAGACACTGAATATGCATTTGTTTGCTTTGCAGTAACTAGAATTACACAGAGGCATAGAGGTTTTCTATTTAAATTGTGTTTGTATTTTATTTTTCTCGCTGTGTTGGCCATTGATGAAGCTCAGGATGTCAGGGTGTGTGTCATATTTATTTCCGAGGCTCAACCGTTTTTCTTTAAAATAAAGCTGATGTGTAAGAAGGGATGACAGATAAATCACACTGATATTTGTTAGCTGAATTCCTCTCTTGCACTGCCAACCCATTTCTACTTCTCAGCTGCCTTATTCTAGGTGTTCTTGTGTATTGTGTTCTCAACAGACCTTCAAGTCCTGAAGTAATCTATCAGAATCGTTGACAGGTCCCTTTGTTTCTCTAACTTGGGGGAAAAATAATGCCTGAAGCAGGCTACAATAATATCAGGCTTAATGTAGAAAAACCTGGGATAAGAGAAGTGTCGTGAAAACCAAAGCTTTCACCTGCTATTGTGTATTTCACTGGTTGCTTTTTCTATTGAACCATTATTCTTTTTTTTCTGTTTCTTTCTCAAGTCTCTGCTTCACAGAATCATTATTTTTATTTAAATTCCTAAATGTTAAATTGTCTTAGAGGGGAGTTCTCCTTTACCTATTGCTGATTTGGGTAAAATTCCCTCATAAGTTCACTTCAAGTGCATTTTCTATATTTTTCTTCTGAATTTACATCTGTTGTTGTTTGTCATTGGTGGCTCAAACTCAAATCACCACAATGCTACTAACCTAAGCTTTATATGTTGCCTCTGTGTCAAAAATGGTGGTTTTTATTGCAGAGCTCATTGTCTCCTTTGCCATACTAAACTGCTCTTTGTGGGTGCATTTAACTGTCCTCCCTTAAAGTGGCAAAATTGAATTGCTTGATACCATGCACTGTCAACCAACTTGACAGTGACTTCAAGCGTTGATAAAACATGACTGGACCTGTATGATTGGCTTTATCTGGATAATAAGGAACATTTTGTTGGCTGCTTTCACTGCTGTTTAGACTGAGCTGTGTGTCAATGCTCGAGCTAAACGTTACTTTCCTCTGACTTTATAAACAAAATCCACATAAATGCTGGAGCACTGGAAGGATCTCAGTGTTACTTACCTTTAGGCTTGCAAATGTCTGTCTCTGAACCTTTTGGCTGATCTATCAAGGTGATTCTGTAAAAAGCTTTTTTCTTGCTGCATCTTTTCATGGGTTTAAGGTGGGCCTGTTTTTTTTCCTCCCCCTTTCCTTGGCTTGCCTCTCCTGCCTTAAGGACTGCATCAAATTTGGCTGCTTCCAAGCTGACAGGTCCTTCCTCACAGGGTAAAGGCAGTGTTGGGGATGAGAGAAATTCTTCTAACAAATATTATCGGTAAGTAAATTGTGCCCTTGGAGGAAAAGCTGGGGTCTTCATCATATTGAAATGCTAAATTTTGTTTGATTTTCTTCCTCATACCTGCTGTGGTGCTGGGCTTTGGATTAGGATGAGATTAATGCTGATAACACACTGATACTGTAGTTATTGCTGAGTGAGAAGTGTGTGAAGTCCTTCATACCGGCTGATGGATGGTGGCTATAGCAGCTGACACTGGTGGCACAGGGATAAAGCCAGCTGGGCTGCTCAGCTGTGGCTGGATGGTGCTGCTCAGGTGGAGAACCTGGTTGTGAAAATGCATCGTGTAGGTGCTCATGGACCCAAGAGCTGGGCCACTGAACAGCAGCAGAGCAGCCAGGGCTGGGCCAGGATGCTGAGGCTGGAGTGGCTCAAGTGAATCCGTACTGGCAGTGGGAATGTGGATTACAGCTCCAAGGGCCTGTGGCACCTCAGGCCATCAGGGAAGAGGTGCTGCAAATGGATGTGCTCATGATGCAGGTGTGGACTTGCACACCCTGGTCTTGCGATAAAAATGACCCGGGTGAATGAAGGTTTTTTGGTGAAAAGTTTGGCAAAACACAGCAAGGACAGAGCAAGAAGCAGCTTCTTCAGGCAACAGCCCAGCACCACACATCAGCACTGCTGCCTTGGAGGACTGCAGGGACAGATGGAGCCCAAAACCATGGACTAAAAGAATTCAATGGATGTTTTAGAGGGATAGCCCACAGACTAAGGAAATTATATCTGTGCGTTTTATATCAAAATGCAGGAAAGGATGCATAGGAAAGTGTAGAGCCCAGGCACGCACTCGGCTCATCTGATTTTTCCCAGTGTTCACTTGGCTCCTGCAGGACAGGGCTGAGCCCATTTCTGGAGGTGCCTGAAGAGCTGATCTTAAAAAAAGGCAGAGAATGTCAGGCATAGCTCATATAGTATGGTACGAAATACTGTGTCCCAGGTTTGGGATGAAAGAGAGGGATGCTGAAGAAGTCTTGGTGAGACCATAGCCAGTGTGGATGCCAGTTTACTCCACCTAAGAAGCATAGGAGGCTGCTTCATGTGCAGGCACTGTGGGTGCTGAAAATGCCAAATGTGGGGGTGAGGGACTGGGAGGAGATAGAATATACAGCTTTTAGTGTGTTGAGTTCCTTCCTGTAGACAAATCCCAATAAAGCAGGATCAAATGACAAAGGTATTAATTGGGAGAGACTTCTTATAACTTCCTTTCTCTTGCAATTAATCAAATATTCAAGTGTACAAAATATGAGAGAGGGTATGAGCCCAGTTTTCTGACTCTGTTGGATGGACCAGCTCATAAAATAGAGGCAGACTCATGGCTTGGTAAGAATTTCTCCTGTTAAAGGCTTCAGCCTTTAGTCCCATCTGTGTTCCTGCTTTATGGAGTCATTAGCCTCACTTATTTGCTCACACACTCTGGGTGACTGTTAATGGTTAATGTCATAACCCTTTCCTTTTTTTTCGTTTTAATTTTATCTTTTTTTTTAATTTTTAAAATTTCATTACTTTTTCTCTTTCATAGTAACAAAAGATCAGCCCAAGGGGATCGTTTATCAGCAATAACCATGGCATTGCAATATGGATCAGAAAGCGATGAGGATGCAGCTTTGGCTGGTAGGAACTGAAATGCAGTTTCTCTAATTCCTTTCATTAAAATATTCACAATGAGCAAATATTTAGAGCTCCTAATAAACTCAGATACATTTATTTTAAAAAATTTTGCACTCAGTGTCTAATTCCTTTGAATCTTACAGCTAGTGAGATAGGGTAGGCCAAACTTGTTGGTGTACTTTGAATTTTCTGTGTGTTTCCAAGTGTACTTACCCAAGCTTTAGAGAGCTGATGCTTGGTTGTATTCCTTCTAAAATGGAACAGCAGAGGAGATACTGGAGAAGACAATGGGTGCTCCATGCAGCATAAGAGATTGGTAGTGCTGAAATTGTTTCTTCATTTAATTTTTTGTTTACATTATTTCTTCACTGATGTTGAGAGATGCATCTGTTCTGTATGTATTATTGGAGCATTTATTTCTTACCTGGTAATTGAACTGTGCTCCCCTCAGTTTTCTAGTGGATGGGTACATAGAATTTTTTGGATTTTAGCTCTTGCTTTGTAAGCAAAAGCATTTTGTTTTCTATTTAGTTCAGAGTTTGGTTATTGCTTCAGAGCAGCTGTTTTCTGGGAGGTGTGGGGAGTATTTATTAGTTGGGTTTTACTTATTTCTTAACTGTTATTTTTTCCAAATTGCAATGCTGTAAAAGCATGTGGCTTTTTATGTTTTAGTGTTTTAAATTCTTGCCACTGAACGAACCGCTTTCAGGTGCCGCCTTTGCTATGGACATGACTGTAATTTTCATGGGACCTCTCCCTGTGTGTGAGGCCTTTGCCTTGCTGCTGTTGAAGCTCTCCTATCTTTATTGCATTCATCAAAGAGGCAATGTTATTTTTTTTTGGCAGACCTATCACCTGCTAAGATTTTCTGTCCTTCCAGTGTACTACTTGGACAGCCTGATGCTCACTGTCTCTGGATGACAAGGATTTTTCTCTCAACCAAGTGATACTTTTATTAATTGCTCTGCTCTTTTTTTTCATTCCTCTAACGCTTGTTAAAATAAATGAGAACAGGGCTGCATGACTGAACATTAATAGAACTCTCTCCTTCTTGAAACAGAGAACTGAATCTATATGAGCTTCTTTGGTTGTTGCTGTTGCCTAAGCAATGAACAATATCAGTTTCCAACTGAGAGTTTATCCTGACAGCTGCAGATGGTGTTTTGGTATGATGGAGCTTGTAGAACATTTCCAGCTCCGGTGGAAAAGGATGTGAGCAGCTTGAGCAGCTCCCTTGCTCCTCATTATAAATCTATAGAGGCAGGCATAGGTGATCATTAGGTATTACTTGCGTGTATTTAATTTTGTAAACAAGGGTGTTTTGTTTTTACTATATCATTTAGACACGGTTTAAGACTGGATATTGCTTTTGGTTTTACTGGCAGCCATCTTCAGTTGGACATTGAGCATTCATTGTTGTTTCAGTGCTTTGGGACCACAAAGGAGACAGTGGGGGTTTTTGTGGTATCTGCAAACTGTACTTTTGGTAACAGCAGCAGAAAAGGGCAAAAACTGCCTGTCCCTCTCCTCTGCCAGTGCTCTCTGGGGATATGGGACCTGGTGCTACTGCACATACAAGAATGTACAGTCTTGCATCAGATTGCTTGCTCTATAAGAGTAAAAATATTATTATTGCAAAAATAAGAATTTTTCTGTCTTCTAGTCTCAATAATACACTCTTCTCTGCCTCTTAATATAGCAGGTTTCATACTAGGAGATCAGTATAATTTTCTAGATATGTAAGAATATATGATGCTTACACATCACTTTTAAAGAATGCACATCGTAAAAAATGTTTATATCTGTATATTATGTAAATATAAAATACAGTAAAACTATAATACATAAATACTTGCATTTTGGTACATTTTTAAATTAAATTTGATATTTTTAATTTAAATTACCAATTAATATCTAACTTATTTAGATTTCTTTTTAGGGAATGCCTTGTATTCTACTTTCAGCACAAAGAAAGTACATTTCTTATTTAGGGTGTTGAACTGTTTTGTTGCTGGCTCACACGTAGCAGAGAACAGCAAATGCTTGACTAATCCTTTTATGTTTTCTCTTTCATAGAAACAAGTTATTCTGCTTTTTCTGTTTGCTTCTTACTTTTTGTTGGAGTAGTCAGAACTGAACACTTTGAGTAAACTGACCAAACTGTTAAAGTAAAGCATAAGCTATTTTTGAAACTTTACCTGATTTCAGTGATAGTACCAGTGGTTTGTTTCTACCTGAGGTATTCTGTCCAGCTCCTACTTTGCTGGCTGTGGTGTAGCAGATGCTGGGTCATTAGTGATGCTGATTGGCTTCATTAGGATAATTTTGTGTCTCCCCAAATCAATAATGAACATCTTCATTGTGTATTTGCATATCTGCTGATGCCTGGTTGTGTTTTAGCTTTGCCTCTGACCCTGGTGGGTCCCACAGACTGACATAGATCTGGTGTCAGGCTGTAGAGGAGCAATGGCAGCACTGTGTTGTTACAGTCTGAGCGTCCCCTGGCTCTGTCACTGTTTCTGTATGACTTTACTGAACGTGGATAGAGAGCTTGAAATTGTGCCAGCCTCCTGAGCAATAATGGAAATGCCAGCTGGAAACCTGGCATTAGAGAACTGTGTTTTGTGTAGCTGAGTTATTCAGTGTGTCATCTGCCAGGCTGTCCTTCAGACTCACAGAGGGGAAAAGGGGTGAATAGTTTAACTCTGTCATGTGCAAATCCATGTTGATTTTATGTTATATCTGTCTGCAAGGTACAAATTGCATTGTTTGTGGTACTTAGAAGTGTAGAAGGATTGGTCATTTATTGCTTCCCATCTAGTTTCTAGTACCAGTGTTTCTAGTACCAGTGTTTTCTCATTCCTGTTATATTTCTGTTGTTCATGTAATGTTTCTCCTAATTTTATTTGCAGTAAGTGTTAGCTCTTCATAGCTTTTCTTTCATTCATCCTAATCCAGAAACAAGATAACCAGAAAAGTTTGCTATGAAATTTTTAAATATTTACTATAAATTTTTCAGGCTTGTTACATAATCACTGTAAAACATTTCTTTCTTCTTCATTTGCTGTATATATTAGAGGGACATCATCCGGCTTTAATGTCAATTTTTTCTGCTAAGCTTCACAATTTTGTATTGAGCTGTGATTAATATTGCCTGAAGGATTGCAGTAAAGGGCTTTTTTTTTTTTTTGACAGCTTGAGGCTCATTAGATATGTGTTGTCATTTTCTGAGGTGTGAATCTGACTGCCAGAGAGGGGTTTCCTTGTCTTCTGCTTTAGACCTTTATCTACCAAAAAGCCCACTCTGAGTTGTCCTGCTGAGTTTCCTGTTTTTCTTTTCTCTCTGTGCAGCTGCTGCTCGTTACGAAGAGGGAGAGTCTGAAGCTGAGAGCATTACCTCCTTTATGGACACTTCTAATCCTCTTTACCAGCTTTATGACACTATTAGAAGTTGCCGTAATAACCAGGGCCAGCTCATCTCTGAACCCTTTTTCCACTTGCCCTCCAAGAAAAAGTATCCTGATTATTATCAGCAGATTAAAACTCCCATTTCATTGCAGCAGATCAGGTAAGAAAACAGAATGCAAGCTACATCTGGTGTGAAACTATTCAAGGGTTTATTTATTCCCAGAATCTTCTCTTATGGTCAAGTTGGTACCTAATGCAGTGTTTGCACCATCTCTCCTCTACATCAGACTGCTGCTCATTTCAGCTCAGTCTGCCTCAGTCTTTAGATCATCTGTGATACATGGCTGCTGTTTGGTTTATTTTTCATTGAATTTCATTTGTAATGTGTCTGCAAATTGCCATGTGAATAATTCTGAAGGCTAGGTGTACAGGAGAGATGAAAGTTTTTGCAGATCTCCCCATTTTTCTTTTTCCCTGACCTTGATGGCTTGATTGCGTCTTACTGCCATGTTTTTTAGGTTAATAGTCTGCAGTGTGAATTGTAGGAAGATGGTTGCAATTACAGTCCTGTCTAGGTCACCGTGTAACTATGGAGAATAATTATTTTCATGATGATGTAGCTGGTCTGGACTGAAGCCAGCAGTTCACCACTTAAAACCTGTGAGCCATGAAAGGCCCGTGAGCTGCCAGGGTGCAGTTGTCAGATTAAAGACCTGAGTGAAGTGAGCAGTGCCTTTCTTTAGTGGCTCAAGATAAACCAGTATGATGGGTGTGAGCAGGGTCCTGGGAGCATTAATAGGCTTTAATGGTGCTGTGCAGGCCTCCTGCCCGGTGGCCACTGGGGCTTCAGGCCCTGCCCAAGCCACACCCGGGGAGTACCAGTCCTTCAGCTTCAGTGAGGGAGCACTGGACCCTCCCACTGCTCATCCCTTTGTAATCCATCCGATGCGCAGGTCTGTACATTTTAGTTATACCATAATACAATCTGTCAGTCTTGATGGAGTTGTTGAATGAACAGTGTCTTTGTTAAATCTGAAGCTAACAAAGGTGCTTTATAGTTTTTTTGTCTTGTCAGAGGGTGTTTTGCATGTGCTGGGGGGAAAAAGCTTCCACACTGGTTATCTTTCCATCAGTGGCCTTAAAGCAATTTATCTTATGTCTTAGTACAGGTATAATAGTGGCAAAGAATCTGTCTTGCCTTGAACAAAGCACAAAATGTACTCGATGAAAAAAAACAGTGAAATTGCGAAGAATCATTGACAGTTTGTGCCTGAATGTACCTAAAAATATTGGCTCAAATTATGTATAAACAGATTTGTTTGGGAGAGATTTTCCATTAAAAATACCCTTGATATCAGTTATAGAACAAATAACTTGCCACAGAGAGGCAGCTGCATTTCTGCTTTCCTTACAGCGTAGGCAGGTTGCATCTGGCTGTGTGAGCAGCACAGAAATTCCATACAAGTATATGAAGAACTGTAAAAAAAAGTAATTTGACTTACCACCTGGGGGCTTAGAAAATAAAAAAAGGAACAGCCAGGCTTTTCAGAAGTATTGTTTGAGGCTCACAAATTAAAGTACAATGTTTGTAGAAGTCTACCTTTGTGCAAATTCTGAAATTCAGCTGCCTTTTAAATGACCGTGTAATCTTCACTTCCTACTATACCTGAAAAGCCTTGAAGTCATGTATATGTACACTTACTTGATTGCTTTAGGGAAAATTGAAGCATCATGACTTTGCTGATATTGCTAATATATCTTTAGGTATTCAAAACTGCCACTTACTAGGGGTGGAGATTGTCTGTGGGATTTTGGGTCTTTGGTTTTCTGTGGGGATTTTTTCCTTCTTTTCTTGTGGTGGTCGTTTTTTTGGTGTTTGGGGATTTTTTTTGAGATGTACATAAATAGAGCGTATCTTCTGTTCCCAGATGGGAACAGAAAGGTTTGGTGTCCCAGTGAAAAGCTGAAGGAGGTGGAGGGAAGCCTGCCATATCTGTTTCATGTCTGTTTGGCTCTGGCATCTGGCTGCCTCAGCTGTCCTGCCAGAGTGAACTGTGAAATGTGTGGCTGTTGCAAATTTTACAGCTAGTCATGTATTTCAGGGGGGCTTGTGTGTGCTAAATGCAGGAAGAGTCTTTAAAATAATACATGATTTCCAGAGGGAATGTGTGAGTGTGTTTTGGTTTAATGAGATTTTACCTGTCCCAGCCTCTCAGTCACTTAGAACATTATGAACCTCAGTCATTTGAGCTGAGTGCTGATCCTGAGCTGTTCCTGGATGTGGGAGGTAATCATGCTGACGGCTTTTAGTTGTCTCCTAATTTTCTCCTGGCTTGCTGTTCACAGAATCACAGAACAGCTGAGGCTGGAAGGAAAACCATCCTGCCCAAGCCCTGGCTATGGCAGGGTCACCCAAGCCTTGTGTCCAGGACTGTGTCCAGTCGGGTTTAGGTGATCTCCACAGATGGAGACTCCACATCCTCCCAGGGCAACCAGTGCCAGTGTTTGACCACCCTCACAGTAAAAAAAATTTGTGTTCAGCTGAAATTTCCTGTGTTTCCATTTGCTCCTCTCCTTGCTCTGTCAGTGGATGCAGCTGAGATCACCCTGGCTGCCCCCTTCATTCCCTCCCACCAGATGTTCAGCACATTGATGAGAATTTCCTGCCTCAAAGGGGGAAAAGCTTAGAGCTGGAGAACAAGAAAATCCTATTTAAAAAGAAATGCATGATGCTGTCAAGGCTATGACTGACATGTGGTAAAAGTGCCTAATGCAAAGTTGATATTGCTGGGGAAGAGCGTTAATTCTGTTAATTACAAATAACCGCAGGAACAGTCAGGAAATGATACAGGAGAATGTTCAGTTACCAAGTGCATAAGTGCTAGATCCTGGCAGGCTTACAAGAACACTGTTCCTTATTAAATTTTACAGTGTTGAGAAGTATGATCCCCAAGGCAAGTGGGTCAGGCTTTTTTATACCAGAGGAGGAAGGCGTGCCAGGGAATTCCCTGGCAGCATCTCTCTCTGAAACACCTGTGGGAGTACAGCCACTGAAATTGGTATCTTCATGACACACCCTGGTGTCTTGTGCTCCTGGGGTTGCAGCTGAGGTTTAAAAATGTGCAGGGATCTGGTGTAAAACATACTTGGGGTTGTGTGATAGCTGCTTTTTGGTGAATTCAAATGAATTTTTCTTACAAGTGTGACCCTTTTTGAACAATGCTCTGTGACACAAGAATCTAAATGTTGCATTTATGATTTGTTGAGGTGCTCTTGAATTTTGTGGTGGCTCTTGATGGTTTTGGATTAGTTATTAATGGTTTGAGTGGAGCTTGTAGTAAATGTCATCACCTGGTCAAGCATATTTTGTCATATAACTTTAAGCAGTTTTAGCAATATGGCAAATCAAAGAGCGGAAGTAGTTTTGAAGTGTTAGAGACTGGTGCCTGGGGTAAAGTTTGAAGGGTTTAGGTAGAATTTCTGTGTTTTTGTTTCCTTGATTTATGAATGAGTCAATTGGGAAGAGAAAATGAGGTGTCTAATGTTTTGAATACATTGTAAATTTTCACTTTATCTGAGATTTAGGAGTTCTTTCATTCCTTTTGTAGCTTAATACAACTTATTATTTGGTGAATATTGCTTATTTTTGAAATCTTCTGTTCGTGTAAGCAGTTTTCCTACCTTAGCAAGTACTTTCATTGTGTGTTGTATGTAAGACCTTTATAAAATCACAGGTTCAAGTAAAGAAGGTTTCCAATGTACTTTATAAGAAGACTGTCATCTTCAATAGGACATTTGTCAAATGCATCTCTTACTCTCACTCATTCTTTGTTAGTGAGTTGTTTTTCCCTGAAGAGGCAGAACTAGCACTTCACAATTTATGAATAAAAGAAAATAAGTTGAAAAACTGGTCTTATCCTGGTGTTTGAATATTTTCAGTAGGACAATTTTAGACTAAATGTTTGTCTAATAAATGGATTTTTTTTGTTCTATGAAAAGCGTGTGTCTCACCTTCAGTCCTTGCAGATGGTCCACGTGGAAGGACTGATGAGTTTGGAGTAGACATTTTAGGGAGTTGAGTGCCAAGTTACAGTATTCTTTTAATTAATATTCTGTTTTCAACCAAACTAAATGTCTTGTTTTAGGCTTAGTGGTCTTATGAAACTGTAGCCTTGCTTTTAAACTTTTTTTTTTCCTCATTTTCCAAAGGTAATTTTGTTTAAAAGGAAATTCTTTCTAGTTTTACTTATGCTTTCAGGTACAGTTATATCCCTGTCAATAATTTTCACAGAAATTTATCTTAGTTTCTAGTATATAATTTGTGTTATGCATGCAGTGGCTTTCTGTAGAGCCATGGGTTTGGTTCATTTCAGCCTCATTTTGTGCAATAAACTCATGTTTATAAAATCCTTTCTTCCCAAGATTGTTGAGATGGCTTGTTAAAAGTTTATTGTGAAGCTGCACTTCATCCTCTAAATCCAGAGAAGTCATGAGGCTTGAGTTCTGCTGAGTTTGAGTGTAATTAAATCTGTTCAAAGTAATTATGTAAATAACCTACCTAATTAATCATCCTATTGTTTTCTGACAGCATGAACAGAGAATAGTGGGAGAGGAGGTTCTTTGCAGGCTGGAACAGGATCACTTCTGTGCCTGTATATTTTTCATTCCTCACATCCCTGGTTGGAAGCTGTCACTTTCTAAGCCATTCATTCTAAGTCTGGGTTTTTACTTTTGCTTCAGGCCTTTGATGAACACAGCTGTGAATGTAAATTCAGATGGCCTGCACCTTGATTGTTGGGTAGTGGATAAGCACATGGTGGTAGGAGCAAGTTTGGGCCTGAAAGGTTTTATATTAAATTTATTTTGTGGTAGTGATAATGCTCCATCAAGCAGGGACACATTCAGCCAGGTGCTGCAGAAACCAGACTGGGTTTCAAGGTAGTGTGTGACTGGTGAATGTGCCAGGAAGGAGGGTGACGAAGCCGTGTGGCAGCTGTGACAGGCTTTGGGGCTCATGTTGCTGCAGATTAATATTATTGTCTGCTGTGTGTAATGAAGTATTAGAAGGTTTAAAAAAGTTGGCTAGAAGTTTCAGCATTGTGCAATAAAAAGCATTAAGTTAAGCGTTAACTCATGTTGATTCATGTGCTTAGCATACGGAAAATGACATTGTTGTTACTCCTCTTATAACTGTTTTCATGTGAAGTGCACTTTGCATGTATCACCAATCAACAACCAGGTGGTTTTTTAAGAGAAGGCACAAATTGGAGGGCTTAACATAAGAGATGCTGTGTGCTTTTGGCTCTCACTGAAGATGAGTGGAATTGATGGAGGGAAGGCAGCGTTTGGGACTGTGCAGAGCTGGCTTGGCCTGAAGTCAGAGCTCAGGGGCACTGTAGCAGTCTCAGCAGGCTGTGCTGCTGCCTTACGTGTACCATCTCACCCAAACATGAAAACAGGACTTCAGTCTCCACAACTTCCGATACTACTGAAACCATTCTTTGAGGAGAAGTGTTTCCCTGATACAGTTACAAGTGGAAGAGAATCAAAAAGTAAATCCCATTTCTGTAGTTAGAGCTCTTTGACTATTTATTTATCATGCAAATGAGGATATTAAAGAAATGTTTTGCACTGTGTAACTAGTGAAGTAGCTGACTGGTAATTCTCTTTTGCAGAACCAAGCTGAAGAACCACGAGTATGAAACTTTAGATCAGTTGGAGGCTGATCTGAATTTGATGTTTGAAAATGCCAAGCGCTACAATGTCCCCAATTCTGCCATCTATAAAAGAGTGCTGAAAATGCAGCAGGTTATGCAAGTATGTGAAGAAGAACAAGCAAAAAGATATAACTTCATATGCAAATTTATTTCCCTAATGGATATTTTTCCAAAATAATTTGTAACTAGACATGTATTTGCAGAAGTATTTTCTTGCTTAGGGGGAAGTATGGGAATGGAGAGCATCATGAAGTGATTTTTCCTCAGCACACCTGCTGTCTTCTGTGATTTCTTTTGGTCACTTTATTCCTTACTGTGACCCCTAACCTAATTAAATTGCAAGAAAATTGATGATGCAGGGTTTTTTTAGAGTTTGCATGTAATTGAATAAGGCTAAAACCTTTCAGATCTCATTAAGGGTTCCAGTTAAGTGTTGTAGTTGGAAATGCATTGTTTTCAAATTGGTTTCTCAGAAGTCCTGTCAGTTAGAAAGAACTATACTGCTCTTTAATTCTGTTCTGGAAGTGTCCAGCAGTGAGTTTGGCTTCAGGGTTTTGTTTTTTTTCAGGCAAAGAAGAAGGAGCTTGCTAGGAGAGATGACATTGAGGATGGGGACAGCATGATTTCTTCTGCTACATCTGATACTGGAAGCTCAAAAAGGAAAAGGTATCTGCTTCTGTAGTTCCTGCAGGCCATAACATTGCTGCATCTCTTTTTGTTGAAGAGATACCATGTTTTTTAGCATTTGTGTAAGGATTTGTAATTGTGATACATCATTAAGTGTTGATTCTAATTAATTCAAAAGTATTTGCTGACTATTATTTCCCTGTTTTGGTCTATTAATTGGCAGCTGTCAACATCAGTTCAGTAAATAAAATAGGCATTGTAATTGCACTGAATTAGGTGATTTTATTAGTAGATTTCAGGATTTTTAGGGAGGACTTTTTAGCCTGACAAATAGATAAACTGATTATAAGAGGTTGATTACTTAGGGCCCTGTCACATAAACCAAATTCCCAGTGATTTGCAATAGACTCTTCCATTGAGCATAATGATGGCTTATGGGAGGTATTCTTTATGGTGATAGCTCTTTTGTAATTAATACTAGTTATGCATTTCACTCCAGTAAGAGGTAGTTTCTCTAGTCTGCCTTGATAAAATGATTGTAGTGGTAGCAACAGCCAGTGTAAAATTGCAATTAATCTTTCTTTGGTGTTGCTTATGAACACTGGCTTCCTGGATAATTTCTTGTTTTGTCAAAGGAACAACAGTTGTGGGGGGAGGAAGGGAATGGAGTCACCAGCAACCGAAGGTCACTGAAGAGCAATCTAATAAGTGCAAAAATGTACACTCATTAAAAATCTTCAGAGAGAAAATATGAACATGGATTTAGGAGGTGGTGCAGTCTAGGGATGCTGGGAAGAAGAAATGTAATGGAAATGAAAGGCAGACCACAGAACCAAGTAATCAAGAAGGAACAAATTGCAAAAATTGCTAGCTTTGTGATCTTCAGAATTCAAATAGAAGTACTAACCTAATCAAGCAAGTCAAATTGTCATCAGTGTCCTTTTAACCCCATGTTGCTTTTGATCACTTTGTGCCAGACAATACTGAAATGCTTAAAAGGAAAAAATCTGTCAGGCCCTGTCATCTAAGAACAATAAAACAGGAAAGGGAACAAGGGATTTCCCATGTTCATAGGCAAGGGAGATCAGAATGACGCCTGAAGAGCACCTGAAAATGCTTTTGATGTTGTCAGTTTGATACTTGTTATCCATTCACTTGCTGAATGATAGCAAGGAAAAGAAGATCATAAATGCTGCTGATCACAGAAGTGAAGCAATGAGAGAAATTCCAATATGTTGCTGGGAAAGGAAACCAATAACCTATGCAAAATTCATCCTATTGGGAAAATACCAGTTACCAAGAAGAAAGCTGTTTGAAAGTCCCCTTTTATGTATCAGATGCATGACACAAATCTTGAGGATTGGCAGGCCTTTTGCTATTTCTGCTTTGGTTTTGCTTTGCCTACGTCTGTTGAAATGAGTGAGGAAAACCTGGAAACACATTAAAATGGGGAATTTGGCAGCGTGTCTGTGTTCTGAAACTGCTCACCTGCTAGTGGGAACAACTAACCAACATTTGCCAACAGCAGTAATGTTTAGCATATAGAGCATATATTTTGAGTTTTCTTTGTTGTTAGTTTTCATTAGTTACTTTGCTGATCTCAGCAAGCAGTGAGAGATATCTGAGGCATGAGACAATGCTGAATTAGGTATATTTTAAATGCGTGATGAAAAGATCCCCATCCCAGGGAAATCTGTGTTGCAGTTTGGTTTCTATTAAGTTGTACCAGGATATTTTGCACATTCTGCAATTGAAGGTAGTTTTTGTGGTAGTTTTTGTCTTTGCAGATAATACAATAGTCAAAGTTATAACTACCTGAGCAAGTCTTAAGGAAATTGCAGATTGGAAGCAGGTGCTTTGTAGTGAGTGTATTACTGAGTGCCACAGTATCTGAGCTGAGACTATACATTATTGATATAAATTTTCTTCTCTCTTATTTGATTTGCTTTTAGGCCATATACTATGTGTGCAGGGAGTCATGTACTGTTTTGTGATAAGCTGTGCCGTGGCTGTCAGATTTCTTGAGACAACCATAGCAGCTGCACACAGGATAACTGTAACATTCGTAGGGATAGCATGTACCATTTTCTACCTGGGTTTGCACTCTTGGTGAGCTTTACTGACTTCAGGCTTCATTTGAATTGACAGATATTTAAGCAATTCTTTCTGCTACATCCTTGATATCCTTGCTTGCTACTGAAGAATGTATGAAATTACTCTGAGATAAATAGCTCATATCTTTGGTATTCTGTGTTTACCAGAAGTAATCATGAATGTACTGACGGGAGGTTTTTGCGCTGCTTACTCTGGGTCTTGAGCTCTTGGATTCAGATGCCTGATCCTGACTGTTGTGTTTTCTCTGAAGCTGCAAAGTGCTCAGAGCTCCTTTTTTGCACTTTGAAAAATGCATTAGTTGGTTAATTTTGTAGAACACTTGAACTCAAGGTCAGTGAGAGAAGAATCATCTTGAAGAGTTGTTTCCTGTTTCTGTCTCGGACTTCTGGTTATGATGCTGTTGTCATTTGCAAATACTAGTGCACTGTCTTAATGCTGAACTTCTTGCGTGTGTTTAGGTGGTTCTGGTTGTTTCTTCATGGTAGAGGATAATACCATTTTGTTATTAGTGTTGGAAGTGGGGATAAGAGCCCCTGACATTTATTCTTTTCCTTTGTGTTCTTCTTAACCTGACAGTAAAAAGAACATACGAAAGCAGCGGATGAAGATCTTGTACAACGCGGTTCTGGAAGCTCGAGAGCCCGGCACAGGCAGGCGGCTCTGTGATCTGTTCATGGTTAAGCCATCCAAAAAGGACTATCCAGACTATTATAAAATTATCCTGGAGCCAATGGACTTGAAGATGATAGAGCACAATATCCGCAATGACAAGTACGCGGCGGAGGAGGCCATGATTGAGGACATGAAGCTCATGTTCCGGAACGCCAGGCATTACAACGAGGAAGGCTCCCAGGTACTCACTGGGGTCAGCAGCCACGCTTCTCTCTGCTGCTTTGCAGACATAAACTGCTGTTAAGATGGTTTCACTTCAACTACTACACGTATTATTTCTTATAATTGTTTATCTAAAGTAGAAATTCTCAGAACTTCTGAGAAAGGCTGTCTTAGAAGGAAAACAGCTTTGTTTTCATGGAAGTGGAGAGTGTGGGAGATCAGACTAGAAGACCTGATTTGTTTAGCTCAGCAAAATGAGTCTGAAAGGAATGTGGTTTTCATTTACAAGTATTTTTTTGGGTGTGTCTATATTGTGATGTTTCTCAGGCAGCAAGAACGATGTAAAACAGTATGGTGGTAAGAAACCTCCAGCTGTTTCTGATAAGGAGCTTGATCAGCTACTGCACAGGTCTTCATCACCAGGATTGGATTTGAAGACCCCAGGGCTGTTCTAGTCCTTTGTACCTTGATGGAATCACAGTGGTTCAAGGGATCTTTCATTGCTCAGCAGAAGGGTTTGATGAGGAAGTTGATAACACAAATGGCTCTTGCCATTTTGTAGTCTTTGGAATGGAAATGCAGCTTAACTGGATAATTTCTTCAACATTTGTAGCTCCCTGATTTAGATGGTGTCATTAGTTCTGCTTACCTGTGCAAGTCAGTTAAAAAGAAAGGTTTATTTGTCAAATGTACACCTTAAATAAAATATTCCATTTTGCTTTCAGCTTTTCCAAATTAACATTTAAATGTTTCTTAGGAGATAGTTCTAAACTAGTCTAAACACAGTAAACCTTGTTTTGGTTGGATTTTGATTATTTTGCTGATTAATAGGTATACAATGATGCCCATATGCTGGAAAAGATCCTTAAAGAAAAAAGGAAAGAGCTGGGACCCTTGGCTGAAGATGATGATGTTGCATCCCCTAAACTAAAGCTAAGTAAGACAACCCTGTGCATTGCCTTGTCTCATTTCAGCACTTACAGCACAATATGGATAAACAGATCTTCATTTTAGAATAGACATGATCTGCACAGTTGTTAAGACTGACAAGGAAAGCAGAATTATATTTTCAAAATCTTGATAGCAATGACATGTCTCTGTTATACAATAGAAATAAGTTGTTGCATGTAGTGTTTTCTAAGAAAAGTAACTTAGAGTGAAGAAAAAAAGACTTTGGAATGGATGGAAGAATGTAGTCATATAGTGTTATCCAGATGTTAGATGGTGCATTATGTGCTCAGTCAAGTAAGGGGCTTCTCAAATTGAGCACATCTCTTAATTTCACTGGTTAAATGTCTGGGATTTCCACAGAATGATAAAAAAAAGTGAACTCAGTTTGGCAGAATATTGAAAGCTATGAGAAACATGGAAGTGAAGTTTGCTGCATCTGTTCCTTGAGCTGTTGCTCTTACAAACTTGCTACTGCTCAAATCTTATGTTCTCTTAATATGTGTTCAGAACTGAGCAAACTGAGACACATAAAATTGCACAAAAACCTTAAAATAACTGCACACAGTCCTCTTGCAGATTAAATATCCAGCTCCTAGGTAAATCACAGGTGTAGAGAACTCTCAGGCAGAGTCTGTGCAGTGCAGTAACAGAGATCCTGAGTTAATCAAAAAGCCAACCTGATAATCTCATGGGAGGCTTTAATTTACATTACATGTCATAAAGGAATCTGATAATATTTCGAATACTTAATTTTCATATTAGTGATAGCAAAACCTCTGTGGTGACAGGATTTTTAACGGCTGCAGAGACGAATTCATGGAGAGGTGTAATACCCAAATTAGTTTAGAGTAGTTTGTTAATGATGTTTGGTAGGAAAAGACATTTTCCATACTGAAGCCTGAGGAGGCCTTTGCCAGATGGAGCATGGAGCAACATATTCTGTGTTTGGCAAAAAGAACATTAAAAAAAATTTTATAGAGTTATTAAAAATAAAGGGAGCTGCAGCCTGGAATGGGCTCCATGTTGTAAGGCTTCTGCTCATACCATGAAGTGGTTCTTCCATGAACAATTCTCCGATGGAAACTGGAGATGGACAAAGAAATGTGCAAGTTCTTGGCTTTGTCATTTTAACTTCTTTTTTGTTTTTTGTCGTGTTAGGTAGGAAAAGTGGCATTTCTCCCAAGAAGTCCAAGTACATGACTCCAATGCAGCAGAAGCTGAATGAGGTGTATGAGGCTGTGAAGAACTACACGGACAAGCGCGGGCGGCGGCTGAGCGCGATCTTCCTGCGGCTGCCGTCCCGCTCCGAGCTCCCCGACTACTACGTCACCATCAAAAAGCCTGTGGACATGGAAAAGATCAGGAGCCACATGATGGCAAATAAATATCAGGACATAGACTCCATGGTGGAGGACTTTGTCATGATGTTCAATAACGCTTGCACATACAATGAACCAGAGTCTTTGATTTATAAAGATGCCCTGGTCCTCCACAAAGTTTTGCTTGAAACACGGAGAGAAATAGAAGGAGATGAGGATTCTCATGTGCCCAATGTCACTTTGCTGATTCAGGAACTCATCCATAACCTCTTTGTATCTGTTATGAGCCACCAGGATGATGAGGGAAGATGCTACAGCGACTCCTTAGCTGAGATTCCTGCTGTTGATCCCAACTTCCCAAATAAACCTCCTCTGACTTTTGATATTATCCGAAAAAATGTTGAAAATAATCGCTATAGAAGATTGGACTTGTTCCAGGAGAACATGTTTGAGGTACTGGAGAGGGCACGGAGAATGAACAGGTGAGCAAACACTTATTTTTCAGGTATACTTTATAATGAATTTTGCATTTAATGTTAGACAAAGGCTAAAGTTTTTTTAAGGTGTTTGCTTTCTGTGATATGGGTGTTTGGAAAACTAAATCTCAAAAGCTCTATCAGGTCTTCAGTGGAATGTTTGCTTTCTTTTGAAAACAAGGAAGAAGTTAGTTTTCTGCAGAGAGATAATTTTGACAATCTTCCAAAGGTACACCTTATGACAAACAGGTTCCTGCTAACTTTCAAATTGAAAAAATGAAGAGAGCTGTTCACTAACTGCTCAAATAGTGAATTACTCTTTTGGAGCAATCACACTTGGGTGAGTTATGGTAACACCGTGCAAAAACTATGAACACTTGCAACTTCTTGTAGAGTTTTGCTTGAATTCAGTAGCCTTTCTGGGAATGTGCAGATGAGAGGTTGACTGTGAAGGGCAGGAGGTAAAAAAAAAATCTTAAAACATCTACTAAGAGGATTATAGATAATTAAAATAAGTCCGTTTTTAAATAGTACTGTTGTTACTCAGGTTTTCAGAAACTAAGATTGTAGAGGTCCAGTGACAGGTAGCCTTATCACAACTAGTTACCTTCAATTTCCTGGCATTTCAGGACTGGTGTATACAAAAATCCTGTTTTGGGTGGGCTGTAATGCAGATTACAGTGGACTAACAGGTGAAGCATCACTTAATACTTCATGAACTCAAGTTAATCTCTGCTGCTGCTTATGAGTAAGCACAGAAATCTATTGGCAAAGTGAAGCTTTTGATGGATCACAAAGAGTGGTGATTGATGGGTGTGTTTAGGCTCCTGTTTGACTCTGCAGAAACTGTGTTCTTACCCTGTTGTTCATGTTTTTGTACAGGACTGATTCAGAGATCTATGAGGATGCAGTAGAACTTCAGCAGTTCTTCATTAAAATTCGAGATGAACTGTGTAAAAATGGAGAGATTCTGCTGTCACCTGCTCTCAGCTACACCACCAAGCATCTTCACAACGATGTAGAAAAGGAAAAGAAGGAAAAGCTGCCCAAAGAAATAGAGGAGGATAAGCTCAAAAGGGAGGAGGAGAAGAGAGGTAGCTACTTTTGTTCCATTAATTTTGAATGTACTAAATGAAAAATGTACCCATACATATGATGTGTTGTTCAGCTTTGCCTGCTGAAAGGACCTTCATAATCTGCTTGTCCCTCAGTCTTTTATTTTCAAGTTATGAGAGATTTATTTTATTTTGATCCTTATCAGCCAGGCCAGAGGACTTTTAAGAAAGAGACGTAGGTAGATATTAACCCTATGTGAACTCTTTAATCAGAATATCTCGGGGTACCAGTATTTATTTCAAGGATATTAAAAAAGAAAACAGTAACTTTTTACTTAAGCTTCTGCTGATAATAAACTTAATTAATATTTCCAATGACCTTTTAGTCATTTTCTTTTTGACAAATACTGACAGTGTTATCTATGATCATGCTTTTGACACTGCTAAAGAACTGAGGTTTGATAAGCCTTTTGTGTTTTGGCTACTGTGGATATGAAGAGGAGTGGGCTTGCACTACTTTGTAGGGCATGAAGTGTATCCTGAAGGTCCTTTATTTCACAGTTCCTGGCTGTTTCTGTCCATGCTCCATTGTGCACCATGTGTAAAGGAATAAATAAGCTCTCCAGTTACACCTTTACACAGACAGGAGCAGAACTTGAATCATCTTACTTACATGGTTCATCTTCCCTCATGGATGTCAGCAGCAGTAAAGCCTGGTTACTCCAGGCTCAAAGTGAGGCACTGACATCAAGAATCTTGGCTAATATGGAAATGTGACATTACTAACATCTGTTTTTTCCTTTCTTAAAATAAGAAGCTGAAAAGAGTGAAGATTCCTCTGGATCAGCTGGGCTGTCAAATTTGCATCGGACCTACAGCCAGGACTGCAGCTTCAAGAACAGCATGTACCATGTGGGGGATTATGTGTATGTGGAGCCTGCAGAGGCCAACTTGCAGCCTCACATCGTCTGCATTGAGAGGCTGTGGGAAGATTCAGCTGGTAAGGATGTCCTCACTGCAGGAAAACACTAGGGTGAAACTTATTATTATTTTAAGCTTCTAATTTCTTTTTTTTTCTTGTGTAGATGTTACTTACTTTATTTGCAGAACTGCTTGGATCAGTGAAGTGCTTGTTTTTTTTGTTTCTGAGTTGCTTTTTTCTAAAGGATATTAAAAATAGAAAATTCTTGGGACAGCATGGGCTTTTTTTGGTGTTCATACCTGCCTACCCTCGAATTGTAAGCCTCTCAGAAATGGGATTCTGAGTGGGATGGACTCCTTGTAATTTAGGTGAACAAGAATGCTGTTTTTCTGTGCTGAGAAATCTGAACCAAAGATGGGCACAGGTTTCCTTTGATCCAGAAAAATAGTACATATTTGAAACTTCTTTATGAATCATTTTTATTGATTTGAGTTGTCATCATGTAATTTATCACAGCATAAAATGAAAGAAATATTTCTTAAAAAACTTAAAAACAATTACTTGAGATTCTTTAAATAATCAGGTGATTATTGTGTGGACTTCAAGGCCTGAAAGTCAAAATCTATAAATAAGAATGAATTTCTTCTTTATTTTTCTGAGACAGGTTTTACTGGAGAAATAACAATTAGCCGGCTTTTTAAAAAACCTTGTTTTCCTTTTCTGAAAAGTTGAATATTTCCCTGTTTAAGAGGAGGTTGCTCTTAGTATAAATGACTACATGGCTATTTGATTAATCAGTCAATTGCTAATTGTTCTTACTTGACTCATGTGCTAGAAAATATCATCTTACGTTTTTTTTTCCTTTCTGTCTCCCTTCTCTTTTTTTTTGTTGTTTTTTATTTTGAAGGAGAGAAATGGCTCTATGGCTGCTGGTTTTATCGACCAAATGAAACTTTTCACCTTGCAACACGAAAATTCCTGGAGAAAGAAGTTTTTAAAAGTGATTATTACAATAAAGTTCCTGTTAGTAAAATTTTAGGCAAATGTGTGGTCATGTTTGTCAAGGTGAGAGTCTATTCAGATTAATTTATAAAACAAGTAATGCTTTCTGTGATTTCCTGTAGAGCTGTAGGCACTCCAACATAGAGACATTCCACTAATACCTAAATAAAATAGGACTTGCTTCTGTGGGCTGTTTGGATCTTCCTTTGCTTCCTGTCATAAGTGGTTCACCCAGGTGATGGAGTTTCCCTGTGCTGGTTGATTTGTGCTTATGGTTCACCCCTGGCTTGGTGAATGTGTCCTTTTTCCAAGTCAAAGCACAGAAATCTTGTGATTTCAGGCTGCAGATCTTGTATTTTTTAATGCACTGGATTGGTAAATTAATAAAACCTAACTCTTCTCACATGCCAACCTGTACTGAATTAACCCCTTCTCCAAGGGTGGGATTTCTTGTTTGTTGTTATTCTTAGTAAAACTTGGACATCAAACTGGAAGAGAACTCAGCAAAGAGGCTTCTGACAGAAGCAGTGAAAAAACTGAAGCCATGAGAGGGAGTTCACTGTGTCTGTGGGGTGTGGGTGTTGCTGAAATATTTAATATTTTTCCTTCAATCTGCAGGAATATTTTAAATTGTGCCCTGAAAACTTCAGAGATGAGGACGTTTATGTGTGCGAGTCGCGCTATTCTGCGAAGACAAAGTCTTTTAAAAAGATTAAACTGTGGACTATGCCTGTGAGCTCTGTCAGATTTGTCCCACGAGATGTGCCCCTGCCTGTGGTCAGAGTTGCTTCTGTGTTTGCCAATACAGACAAAGCAGATGAGGAGAAACACAGTGAAACACTGGAGGACAGTAAGGTGGGAGAAAGTATCCTTCATCTTGAAAAGGTATGCAAGGGGAACGTTGATTATATTTGACAGAGAATGACAAAATATCAGCCCTTGTGGCTTGGGGTTCACCACATCCAGATGCAATAATAAAATATAAATTGATATAATATTTCTGTTATAAATTATATTACAGACATTTGTAAATTAACACAAAATATAACTAGGCGTAAGAGAAAATAATAAACTGTGTAAATATTCGTTACACGCCTTTTTCTTGTGATCATGTGATGGAGTTGGTTGGATTTTTTACCACTTCAGAAAATTGGACTTTTACTGTAAAGCCTGCCCTAAGCCTAAAGAACCAGTAGAATTAAAAGTCTAATTTTAGTTCATGGCAGTGCTGAAATGCTTTGTTGTGTAGCATTTCAGTAAAGCAGTTGGTAGCTAGGCAGCAGTAAGTAATACAAAATATTTTATTGTTTGTGACCTGTTTGTGGTTTATAACTAGTTTATTGTCAAAATGCTAAAGAATATTTCTGTCCAACATAGTGGATAAAATGGTTCATTTATTGTACCTAGAGTAAGAAAACAAATAAATTTAGGTAAATGCATTAAAATCAGTTAAATTTAATTAGTTTTGTCCACAATAAATTAAGAGCCTTGAAAAATAAGAGACTCAAAAAATATCATAAATCACTAAAAAAACCTATAAAAATCCACTTTGTATTTTCTACACAGAACCTGAGAACACATCCCCAACACACCCATTGTCAGCTTTTGTCAGACACCTGGTGTGTATTAGTGTATTTATTCACATCATGACAAAAGATGGAATTAATTCTACTGGGAGAATGAAAACTCTTAGGATCTTGTCCTTCTATGCCTTGGTGAGACAGCCTGTGTTTCCTTGGCTTTCTGGTAACCCAGGCTGAAAGATGAAATGAGGCACAATTGCAGTTTTTACTAAAAAGTAAGAAATTAAATAGGGCAGATGGTATGAATTTGTAAGCAATACATGGAATTCCTATTTTTGTATAAGAGAGTTGAATCATTATATTTTTGTGTCTGTTAGCTTGGCCATATATCCAGTTCTTGCTCCCAAAGCACATTACTGGGCTTTAAGCCGTCAAAGTTGACATGGCTTGGCTTGGCCAGTTTACTTTGAAGCACTAGAACAAAAAAGGACCTGTAAATTATTAATCTGGCAAAGTTAGAGCTTTGTGAAATAGGAAAGCTTGTGACAGACATGGAGGGTATCTTTGGCTTTGCAGTTTTAATTCAGGAAACTTCTGTACACACATCTCTGCTTGGTGCTTACCTGTTATTAACATAAATGTTGAGCAAGGCCTTTTGCTGGAATCTCTTTATTTCTGTGCTTGGTTTTACTCCTTCCTCAAGTTTCTAAATGCTTCTTCTTCTGCAGGACAAAGAAGATGTTCCAGTAGAAATGTCCAATGGGGAACCTGGTTGCCATTACTTTGAACAGCTCTGCTACAATGACATGTGGCTGAAGGTTGGAGACTGTGTCTTCATAAAATCACACGGCCTGGTGCGGCCTCGAGTAGGAAGGTAGGGGCAGCTTCTCTGTTTGCAGTTTACAGCTGTAAAAATAACTTGGATAAAAGAGGGGCTGGTTGCAAAAAGGTATAAAAGAGGATGGGAAAAAATGTGAGTAATTGTTACAAGGTCTTGATAGATTGAGGTGGAATTTTAGCTGCCTAATAAAAACCTGGTCCAGTTGTACAGTTAGAATTGGCTGTTCTGTATTTGTTTTCCACTGTTTTCCTGAACATCCTACTGCCTCATTTGGGAGAAATGGACTTTCATTTATGTTGCTGGTTTGGTTTCTCTGCAGAATTGAGAAGATGTGGGTGCGAGATGGAGCCGCATATTTCTTTGGTCCAATCTTTATACATCCTGAAGAAACTGAGCATGAGCCAACTAAAATGTTCTACAAGAAGGAGGTGTTTTTGAGTAACTTGGAGGAGACCTGTCCCATGACTTGCATTTTGGGTAATTATTAACAACTTTAATCTGATGGACTACTTCTTTTCCTACACAATCTGAAGTGATTGAAGGCTATGTGTAGGTTTGATTCCAAGTATGTCTTTTTCACTGAGGGAGGGAGGAGATACTATTCAGTGAGTTTCTAATATCCATTCCTGCCTGTGGGACCTGTTGTGAGGATTCACTATAAGGAAGCTTTCTTACAATGTATGATATGAAAGTGAACATTGTTTACAGCCAGAGAACAGAAAACTCCATTTTTCTTGAAAATTAATGTAATTACTCCAATACATATTACCTGGAAAGTTGAAAGGAGGAGTAGGAGGTTGAAGTTTGATTTGTTGCAGAAGATGATGGCTGTACTTTGTTTTGAATTTAGGATGCTGTGATAAATGCAGTAACTGACAGTGATCAAGGGGGCTTGTGACTTTGTGTGTTCTCTAGTTCTTAAAAAAAAATCCGAAAGCTGCATTAAGTTGCTGTGGGTTTTTTGTGAGTGACATTATTTGGTTGGAATATCAACTGATGTATTTTCCGTAGTTGCGCCAAATTCCAGGAATCTTCCACACTTACGAGACAGGCAAAAAAAAATGGACTTTCCACACTTTTAAAAAAAAGTCTGCAAGTGTGGCTGCCTTCTTACCCAGCTCTTTCATTTCTGCAGGAAAGTGTGTCGTTCTGTCATTCAAAGACTTCCTCTCCTGCAGACCAACAGAAATCTCCGAAAACGATGTTTTTCTTTGCGAGAGCCGCTACAACGAAAGTGACAAACAAATGAAGAAATTCAAGGGGTTGAAGAGGTTTTCACTGTCTGCAAAAGTTGTAGATGATGAAATATACTATTTTAGGTAAAAATGTAAGGGGAACGAGGGGGTCACCTGAGCATTCTTCTGGATTGCAGTGGACTGGCAGCTAAGCCCCCACGCAGCCTTTTGGTCACTGCCCCACAGTGGAATAGGGGAGAGAATCTGAAGGGCAGAAGGAAGAAAAACTCCTGGCTTGAGTTAAAAACAGTTGGGAAATTAAAGCAAAGCTACATGCACAAACAGAGCAAGATCAGCGGGCAGATGTTTGGCTGTTTCCTGGAAAGCAGGGCCTTGGCACATGGAATGGTTACTGGGAAAGACAAATGCCATAACCCTGAATGTAGCCTGTCCTTTCCTTCTCCCCATATTTTATTGCTGAGCACGGTGTCAGAGTATGGAATACCCCCTTGGTTGGTTTGGCTTAGCTGTCCTGATTGTCTCCCCTCCCAAATCCCTGCCCAGCCCCAGCCTGCTGGGGCACAGAGTGGGGAAAAGGAAAGGCCTTGATGCTGAGCTGTTCAGCACTAATTACAGCAGGATGTGTTATCCACACCATTGTCTCACAGATCCAAAACATGGCACCTCTCGGCTGCTGTGCAGGGAATTAACCCCATCCCAGCCTGACCCAGGACACCCACACAAGTCAGAGGTGTAATTTCAAATAACCACACTCTTGGAAAGAAATCCAGATGACATCAGTCTTTTTATGGTCTTCATACCAATGGATGTTTTCTTTTTCTTCCTCTGACTTCAAGTTGTTACTTTATCAGATTGGTACATTCTCTTGGATATTGTGAAAATACTTAAGTCCTCATTATGAGTAAGGAAAATCTTTTGGTGAATATTCATATTAATAAAACAAAAATATTAAGTTCTAACAAGTAAAATGTGAAATCTAAGGAAGCTGTGTTGTTAACTGCCTTCTATTGTAGAAATTATGTACTTGTATTAAAATCCCCTTCTAACTCATAAAAAATCCTTCTAACAAGTGACTGAAATGAAGCATTGGGCATAGACACAAAATTAGTTCTGCTCAGGGGTCTGAAAGGAAGCGTAGTCTTAAGTCACCATCTTAAGTCACCATCGTTTCTATATTGTTCAGTCAGAAATTAAGAAAAGTTGATTTTCTCTTCAAAAACAAGTTCATTCTCCTGTAAGGTATGAGTCTGTTCTCAGCTCCTTTTTGTCTTCCTCCTCCACCTTCCAGAAAACCCATAGTTCCTCAAAAAGAGCCATCTCCTCTACTGGAAAAGAAGATTCAGCAGCTGGAAGCAAAATTTGCTGAGTTGGAAGGAGGTGATGAGGACATGGAAGAGATGGGAGAAGAGGAAGGTGATATGACTGAAGCACCTTCTATGCCTCAGCTTCAGGCCCCCTTAGCCAGTGATTTGGATATAATGCCTTATACTCCACCACAGGTAAGGATTTTCCTTCAGGAACCCTTGAACCTTTATATTCCACATTCTTTTTGCAATCCAAATGAAGAAAGTCACATTTTATCATATACAAACAAAGGATTTATACTGAAATTTACAAGTATATGGAGTAAATGACACAAAACAATTTTGCCATGTCCAGTATGATATCCAGGTGATACTGTTTCATTCCATTAAAATATTTTTAAAGGAAATCATTCAGCTGAGGAAAACCCAGGGTACATTTTTATGTATTAGTGTTGTTTCTAATAATGAGGTTTTCTGTGACACTTGTTCAGAAGTATCAGGCCTTTATATGTAATTCAGATAGAAAACTTCTTTATACAGCCCTGGAATTTGTATAACTGAATGTGGAAGCAGAGCGAGGAACTGCCTTACCTGGAAATTCAACTAACCAAAAAAGTTTGTTTGCAACTGGATTAAACCCTTTATCTGTGTTGCCACACTCCCACATCCAAGCTAATGCCAGTCTTAAAGAGGCCATGGGAATGATCTGCTGGGAACAGGAGGGAGTTTCAGACACTTTTATGACCAGCAATGTTGATTTCTTCTGCATTACATTGAAAGGATATGACCCCAGGGTAGAAATGTCTTTGGATGTTGTGAAAGAGTTGCTGAAATTGAAAGCTTTTGCCTGGTTTGAGTGTGATCTTTTGCCATGTGGGCACAATCAAATGTATTTTCCCTTGCAAGGTTGCTCACTGCTGCTCTTGTTTAACATGCTGAATTTTATAAGCAGCTTGAAAATTCTTGAAGAGTATTCCAGTAGAAGTGGAATTTTATCTAACAACTATTAAACCCTAAAACTTTTAAACTCTTTTTTCTTCTGCCAACAAAGACACTCTTACAACACCTAAGTATAGGAGCAGAGACAAGGCAAGTGAATATGTGGTATTGTGGGGCTTGGCAGATAGGTGGGTGATGCTTTCCTGCTGCAGTTTGCTATGAGTCAAAGTACTTAAAAAAGAGGTGTGCAGCTTTATTCTTTGCTTTAGCAACATGGCTGAGAAAAGGAATAAAAGGGGATCCTGGTTGATTTCTTCTTTTAGCAAGTCTTAATGTGAATATGCTGTTATCTGGCTCCAGTGGAAAAGACTGTTCATTTAAAAATGTGTGTATGGGAGACGGAAAAGAACAGAGAATGGAAGAAACAAATTTGGAATTCTTATGATTTCTGCAAGTCCTGTTTGCCCTTCGAAATGATGGGGGGGTGGGGGGGGGTTTACATTAAATTACTGTTCCCAAAACTGTTGCAAGAACTATGTAGGCTAAAACAGGTGGTAAACTTGTAGCTCTATTTGCAAATGTATCAGAGGCCAAATATATAATTAGATTTCCCTCTTTTTGGTTTGAGAACTCTTAATCTGCCAGTGTGGTCTTGCCCAAGAAGCCAGGATGGAATTGTATCTGCCTTGTGTATCATCCCAAACCCTGTGTGGGGTTTGCTTCACTTCCTCCAGACAAGTTGTCTTTAGGCTCATAATAAAAATTTCAAGGGTAGATTGCAAGTTAGTACAGTGAAGTTTAGAATCCCATTTAAATGGGCCCCAGCTCATCTTAAATTGATAAGCAAGACTCTTTAAGCATCTTGGTATTACTAAAACTTTGTTTTTAGCTGAGAGAAGAGTGTTGAACTGTAGGGACAAAGAAGCAAAGAAGCAAGTTAGATGGAGTCAGTAACATGGTCAGAATTTCAGGAGAGGAAGTTGAATATATTCTGTTTCCTTTGTTGCCTCTACCTGGTACTTGGAAACAATGGCACTTTTCAAGATGTGACAGATTCGTAACGTTTGGGGTATGAGAAAGGCCTTCAGAGGATTTTGATGTGATAATACATTTATGGGTCTTATTGGTCAAAGTATGGATGAATTACATGACAAATATAAATGGAAGTGCTTTCAAAAATGGGCTCCAGCTGCGGTCTCAGTATAGAGGTGTCAGAATAGGTTAGTTTTTTGGTGGCTGAAAACATCACAGAGCTCTCCCCAGGGATATCCATAGTAGGAAAAGCAAAGGAGCAGAATTTTTGTTACTCAACAACATAAAAACATGATGTGACTCTGTGGTGCAGGTAAACAGTGATCAGCAAAACTGGGCCTTGGTTTTTCAGGGAGAAATGGCTATTTACTTAATGAGAAGTGAACACTGGAGAGAAAGGAAGGTCTGGCAGGCAAAATAACATTTAGAAGGTAGAATGAGGGAGAGTAGGGATTGCAAAGGCCAATTTTGCAGGAGGAGGTGGAGAAGCATTTTCCTAAAATGTGCGATGGCAAATAAAATATTTTACTTAACTTGTGTTGGCAACGTCTCTGTGCAGCTCAGTGGACAAAATCTGTGACATGACACAATTCCTTTTGTTCTCTTTTGTGCGCTTGTGGTCATAACTGCTTTTTCTCACAGTCCACTCCCAAGTCTGTTAAGGGCAGCACCAAGAAGGAGGGATCAAAAAGGAAGATCAACATGAGTGGGTACATCTTGTTTAGCAGCGAGATGAGAGCTGTGATTAAAGCTCAGCACCCAGACTACTCCTTTGGAGAGCTCAGCAGACTTGTAGGAACTGAATGGAGAAACTTGGAAGCAACAAAGAAAGCAGAATATGAAGGTAAGTAAAAACTGAGATGCTGAACTCTTTTCTGCCTTTTTTCTTTCTCAGCACTTTCTGTTGTTCAGATGACAGGTTTAATAAGAGAAAATATTTATATTTGTGTTCTGGCGTACCTTAAAAAGAAGTTCATATTGAGATGACTGAAGAGGAGCAAAGAGCCTATTTCAGTTATGTAGAGCACAACTGATAATTTAAATGTCTTTGCCACAAATAACCAAATTAACAAAGACCAAGAAAATGGGCACTAATTAGAAGTAAAGGGGTATGGAGCTTCTGGGCTAGAACTTAGTTGGAAAGATATTTTGTCAATGTTTCCTTAAGGTCTGAGGGTTATTTTGGACAAGAAGCTCTTGAGAGCTGTAGCAGCAGGTAAGAAAGACTTACAGAGTGGTGGGGAAAAGTTCATTATTAAAAGTACTTAGTCTTAAGAGGCTTTGTACTGTACATATTGTAAATATGTCCTATTGTTCAGTACAGTATTTATCAACTCTTCTAACTGATTTTGTCAAGAAATTTCATATCCTGAAGTAAGCCTAGGAATATTTCATAATCATGAGATACTTTAGACTTATCTCTTGTCCCTTTATTCCCTTTTCCTCAATTCCTTCCCTCCTTTCCTTTCTTCGCCTCCCTCCTTTTCTTCCCTCCCTCCTTTCCTTTCCTTCCATTCCTTCCCTCCCTTCTGATAGTCACTGTGTTTTAACTTTCATTTGATTAAAATAAAATACAGCTGATCTTTAACAGCCAGCCTTTACCCAAGCCAAATACATGGATTTAACATCCATAGTTACTTCTCTAGTTAATAGCATGTTAACACTATTAACTACTGTATTGATGCAACATTATTTAAAGAAAATGCTCCTTTGGATAGGAACATTTCAACACCTTGGAAAGTTATGGCCCAATTAAGTTATAACTCTGAAAATGAGATTTGATAGGTTTTTCTGCACACCCATAACTTAAAGGCAGCTTTGATCTTGAGGCTGAAAGCTTGCATGCTGTCACTGTCCACTCTCAAACCACCACAGTCCTTTCTGAATTTTCAGTAGCATCTCTTTGCAGCTCTGGAGGGTAACAGCACCCTCTGCTCTGTGCAAATTTGCTTTGCAAATGCTGCGAAGGGAAACGGTAACTGACTTTCTTTCTGAGAATGCTGGGGCCTTACGTTGTTCTGTAGTTGTTTCCTTTTACACCCTTCTAGGTGCATGTATGATCTTTTTATTGGCAGATCCCTCCTTACAGCCTCATCCTTCAGCAGGAGGATGGCTGGCATGTCACTGCTTCCTCGCTTAGAGCAGCTTAAAGTCCTGTACTTCTGCAGGAAGGCTCTGTTTGTCCACCATGTTAATGATTGTCTGTGTGCTTCCATTTTAATCTTCCTTCTCAATTAAAATTTTCCAAAGCTTTTGGGGTTTGAGCTTCAGTTTCCCTGGCTTGGTGTCTGTCTCGAACTAGACTTACTTTTACTTAGTTTTGAGGGGTTGGGATGGGGTAACAAAGTGTCCAAACTGTGTTTGCTTACGGTGTGTGAAAGGAGAGAAACTTCACTCCTTCCCTTGTGAAGAGTCGAAATTCATGTGTTCCCTGGTGTGGATGTGAACCAGGGAGCGGGCATGGTTTGACACCTCAGTTAAAAAGGGCCCTTCATTTTCTGATGAAAAGTGGTTTACATTTTAGATCCATTTTGACCCACTGAAAATTTTGTTTGGTTTATGTGCATGGTTTTAGTTGGTTTTTTACCAATAGTTGAGTAAAGAAGAGGCGGTGTTGGAAGTGCCTGCATGGCTAAATAAAGTAAAAGGGATTGAGGGAAAGGCCTGTTGTAAGGAAAAACTGTTCAGAGCAGGTCTCTTTCCTGTCTCTTGAGATGTGCTGAAAATGTTCAAATGATCTCGAGTCCTGGCCTATGTGATTTGGGTTTATTAGTATTAGGGTGAATGCTTTAGGCTGAACTTTCAGATACCTCCTCTGGTTCCCTTTGGCAGTGTTAGTCCGTTTGTTACTTCTTACTGTGGCAGTCAGGGCATGGATAAGGGCTAGGTAAAACTTGAGTATTGTCCTATGTCAGGTCCTTCTTCAAACCTCAGCACTCTGAAGTCTGATAAAGCTGAACACTTAACAGTAATTTCTCATTCATCAGAGTGTCTCTTTTGCTTTTGTCTGATCATTTTTTGTTTTTTAGCTGGCCAAAAGTAGGTGAGAGTCAGAACAACTGCTTCATCTTTTCCCGAAGTGCTTGCTGTGCTCTGGAGAGGATTTTCTCATTTTTCTACTTCAGGATCTACCTTTAAATATCTTGTGTATTTTGTGCTCAACTGCATCCGGGTTGCCTATATTAAATGTAGAAGTTTCTCTGCGTCGTCATCACTCCTTGAAATTGCAGAAGTGGGAAGAAGGAAGGAAATGTCTTTGGAAATGAAACTGGTCTTTGAGTGTATGAAAGTAGTGCTAGAAGCTGCATAAACAGGTTCTAGAGGAGTCAAAAGTGTGGTAGACATTCAAAGTCATGTTCTAGAGGAAGTGAGTAACACTGGCAGGATGCATAACTTGATTTCCTTGATGAACTTCTTAGCCTTTGTTTGACAGAGGACTGATTGCTGGTTTAGTGGCAGTTTCCATCTTTCACCAACTGCAAGAGAGCTCATAGCCCTGCATTCACTGTTGTTAAAAATTGCTGGAGCTGTATCCTACATCCATTTATTCTTCCTTGTTCCTCATTGTGCCAGTCAGACACAACGTTCAGAGTAAACACAGCAGGAGCTTGCATGCCCATGAAGCACCTGGAGTGGGCATTCAGTATTTCTCCTTTTTTGTTTGCTTGGTTTTTGGTTTTTTTCTTTCTTCTTCCCATGACCCTTTGCCCTTCCCTTAATATAAAATTGTCCTCTGGTCAGATTACCCTGCAGTAGATCTTTTGTTCTTGCAGTCACAGTGAGAGACTTGATTGAGATAATGACCAGATTCATCGTACAAAGGACACACATGGCCTCCAGTGAGCAGCACAATGTGAGTTAGACATCTTCAGAAAAAAAAAAAATAACTCCTAGGGGACCAAATGGGGAAGTGACAGAAAGAAGCAGAGAAAAATTTTTGGTTTATCAAACTGCTGCTTGTTATGTTCCCAAAGCTAAGGACCAATATGCACTAGAGAAACTTTACAAATGCTCCCCGATTTTGCCACCACTTTTCAGCTGCATCAGTAGTAAAATACATGGGGAGCCCACAAATGGCCGTGCCACCAGCTGGCACTGCTGTCTGCTCTTTGCAGCACTCTTTAGGGCACACCTGACAGTGGGACTTCAATTCCCACAGCAGCTGGTAGAGGATTCACCCAAGAGCTGCTGGCCTTGGCTGCAGCTGGTTTGGCTGAGCCAGTGGTGTCAAAACAGGGAATGTTTTGCCATGTCCTACTGCGGACCAAGCCTAGTGCTGGACTGCTGCTTCATGTTGGTAACACTGGTGTTATTATCATCAAATTTGTTCTTTTAATTTTTAAAAAAAAATTTATTTTATTCTTTATTTTAATTTTATTTTTTTTTTAGAAAGAGATAAAACTTTGTGGAATATTTTTCATGAAAGGTACTCTAAAAGTCTTAGCTGCAGCCACATGAAATCAAATCATATGCTGTATAAAAAAGATTCATCTGTTCTACTTTATATTTGACTAAACTATGCCAGTGTCTGACTAGTCCTTTTTAATGAACAGATAATATTTTGAAATTCTGGGTTACAAAACAGAACTGAAAATCTAAAATACTTTTACAGAGCGGGCAGCTAAAGTTGCTGAGCAGCAGGAGAGAGAGCGAGCAGCACAGCAGCAGAATTCCTCCCCCCGGGCAGGCACTCCTGTCGGGGCTCTTATGGGGGTGGTGCCGCCACCAACACCAATGGGAATGCTCAATCAGCAGTTGACACCCGTTGCAGGTAAAACGTAGGAGCTATGACCATTTTTTCCTCATCCACTTTATCAACCCCCTTCATAACTCTGAACACTCTCTTGGGTCACATTGGAAGCAAAAGCTCAAACTCTTCAGTCCTTCTTCATGATGAACATGCCTAGTGCAGCAGTGGCCTGGTGTCCAGCCTTACTTGCTCCAGTGGAGAATAGCCTGTGGAAAATGCAGGGAAGCAGGGTCCTCCTCGTGCAGTGCTCCTGTTCTGGTAGTGTGCAGTCGTGTTTATTCACTCTGCCTTGCAGAGTTCACCTTTAGCCCTGCTGTAGCAGGAGGGCAGCAGCTAAGTAGTCTTCTAGTGCATGCAGCATCTGTGGCAGTGGTTAAGCAGGAGGGAAATTGTTGGGGGTTTAATTGTCAGGGAGGTGAGAGCCAACAGAGTCTAACCCAGATTTTAAATCCAAGCAAAAGCTTTGTAGAATTGCTTCTTAGGCACTGGTAAGCAGAGCAGACCAGGATCTAGAGCCATTGCAGAAACAAAGACAAAATGACAACATTGCTGGTTTTATCAGGTTATTTTTCAGAATAGAACTGAGCTTGGAGAACTCTTCCACGAGGTCCCTGTTGCTGGGTGTTGAGCTCGTTACCAGTTGTAATCCGGCTTGATTTCATAGGGAGTATGCTCGGAGTAAGTATTTTCAGGATCAGATCTGAAGACAATGTAGTCCACTGAAGACTCTTGTATGGAAATCAGCCATACGTGGGTGAGAAAATTAATTAGGTGTGACCTGATAGGTTGTTTTCCTTCCCCAGTTTCTAATTAAAATAAGAACTAAGTTGCTTCAGTCAAGGTCAAAATAGTGCCGAGTAGATAAAAATCAGTATTTGGAGGGCTTTTGGTTTGAGTTTCGGGGTCTTTTTAGCTTTCCCTTAAGACATTCCAATTACTCCATTTATTCTTTTGTCATTTTTCTTTTTCTTTCTCATCTCACAGGCTGTGGCCTTATTTCGAGCTGACAGCCTGAAGCGTTTTTCATCACGATCTCTAAATCCCCTTTCAGTAAATAGGCTGCATGGATGTTTAACTGAAAGCACATTCCTTAGTTGGTACATGATCTCCAGGTTACAAAGCATTTGTTTACACTGAGTTGCATTTTTTTTTTTGCTTTTTTTCACTCTGTTTGTGGTAATTTCCCTCTGAACTGTTTGCAGTTGGTGTATGTTTGTGTGTGTGTGTGTGTGTACACTTTTCTGTGCATATATTAAGAAAAAGGAGGGGAAAAAGAGTTTCCCAGTGCTGATCTCTTTTGTGAATAATTTACATCAATCTAGAATATGTAGAAATACCATCCTCTTGTGGTTGTGTTTTCTCAGTTTGGTTCTTAGGTTTTTTGGCACTGAGTCACTTTTCCAATTTTTAGAGGCAGGTGTTGATGGGCAGTAATACTTGGTGTTAACACTTCCTTAAAACTTCCCCAAAAATGTGCATTCTGCCAACTACACATGCTACCTTATTTCCTGTGACAGCAAACCTCTATTTCAGGCCATTGTCTTATTCAAGCAGATCAACACTCAAGGCTCTTCACTTTGGCTTTGGGAAATACTTCCTTAAAATAGATGATGGAGCAGATCCTTTTAAACCCTTTCTACTTTTGTGGCCCGTTTGAAAAACACAGTCTTTCATCTTTAGGTTTTCACAAGTCCTACTTGGAAGTATCTTGTTCTGTTTGGACCTCCTTTACATCCTTCTCCATCCTTGGATTGCTTATCTCTAGTTCAGAGAGATTCTCCTTCACAGAACATCTTTATGGCCCACAGGGCCAGGAAATCTGGAAGCCTTCTGAGATGTGTTTCTCTTAGTGTGTAGCACTTTAATGTCTTCTACATTTAGGTATTGCAAAAGTTTACTTAATCTTATGTTGTTATAATAAAGAACAGGAGAACAAGTAATTTCAAAGACATCCTAAATCACAATTGTGGGAGCTGGAAATAGTTTGGCCATGTTTGCTAGTTTAAAATAAAAGTTTGCAATTCGTACATGGGGTAAGAAAATGGCTGCTCTTACTCAGAATGAGCTACAAGAACTGATTTATCATGGAGATTGGATGGCACCTTTATTAGCCAGTTGTTGGGTATTTTAATTGGAAATGTAGAACAGCTTCCATGATTGATAAATATGGGTTTGATTCTTTGGAGAGTTTTTTGTTTGTTTGTTTGTTTTAAAGCTTCAGAAGTGCATTAACTGCACTGAAGATGTGTCAGCAGCTCGGGGTGCACAGCAAGCACCAGGCAGTAGCTACAGTGTGAAAGCTCTTTATGCCAAGGAGGCTTTTGTTGTGTTTCTTCTTTTCCTTTTTCTATTTGAAGTATGGATTTCCCTGTAATAAAGAGGTACAGATAAGGTTTCCAATATTTGAAATAGGTACCTACAGCATATTTCATGTGTCAGTCTAGGTGCCCTGTGGAAAATGAAGGCTTGAGGGAGATTAGTTCTTTACTTTCTTGGTGTTTTCTCCATGTAAAGCTTTTGAGATGAGAGGTTTCTCACTTCTGTAACATCCTGAGGAAGTGACAGGTTTAGCTTTTATTTTGGAGCTACTTCTCCTGTTTAGACCCTAAGCTGGTGACAGCTTTGTTCTCAGTCAGAACTGATGAAAGTTTTTGGCCAGTCTCATTGCAGAAGTCTCTGTTTTGAATTCCTTTTATGAATTACAGGGAATGTGGCAAAGACTCGGTGGTTTCTTGGAGCAGACTATAGAAGCCCCAACAAATCTGCATTTCTAACTTGTCTCATCTCTCTAGACCTGCTTCTGTCCTCTGTCATCTTTTCATTGTCTTTCCAACCCCTTTCCTTGCTTACCTGGCAATGCATCCATTTAAGTTAATCATTCCAGGGCCTAACAAGCATAGTGCAGTTATACTGTGTAGGTTCACTACATGGATAGCAGAAAATCTGAGCCAAAGCCAGAGAAATTTTCTTCCTTCACATGCAGAAAACTAAATTTTTGAGCAACAGCACAATGCAGTGTTTGCAGTGTCACTGATTTTCCTCTAAAGACACCTTGCAGACATGGACAGTGAAATTCTGTGAGGGACAGGTGTTCCTTTTGAGCCCTTTCACTTCAATCTAATGCCATGAGTGTAAGCTACTGCACAAGTTACTACTACATGAGCGTAAGCCCAGCACTTTAAACCCAAGTTTAAAATCTGCGTTGCTGTCTTAGTTCATATTGGAGATGGTTTAATAAAAATCATCCATCACTGCCATTAGTTTCAAGTATGTGAATGTTGGAGGGCTTTTGTGCATCAGTTTTGCATGTGTACTGCAGGAAAATGTCTGGGGCTTTATTTTTGTGGCCTCTGAACTAGCCTACAGAGCAGGGCTGTCTGTGGGGCTGGCCAGTCAGTGTTGTGTTTGTAATCTGTGTGCAGATGGCAGAGCTTTAAGCTGTATTAAAACTGCTTGCATTAGTAACATATAACTGTGGCTGAATTTATGCCTTGTGTTAACATATCTGAGTATTCAACATTTATTGCCCCGTGAGAAACATATAAACACACTAAATACTAATTCATCAGAAGTATAGTGTTTCATATTTACAGCTTTTTTTTTAGTTTTTGTTCTCTTTTTATTTTTTTTATTTTGCAAGATACTAATTGTAGTATTGTCTTGCTCTACTAAAGGTGCTTTTTTTTGTGCGTGTGTGTGTGGATAGTGCATGTCTGTGCATACTGTGTAGACCATACTGCATGTTATTGATGCATGTTTGAAATTTGTTGTGTCCTTCAAGGCATGATAAGTGGCTATCCACCGGTGCTGCCACCTTTGCAGGGCCCAGTTGATGGCATTGTTAGCATGGGCAGCATGCAGCCACTTCACCCAGGGGTGCCCCCACCCCACCAACTCCCGCCAGGTATGCCAGGCATCCCAGGCATCCCACCACCCGGTAAGAACCTCATCCTCATTCCCTCTTTATTTCATTGTCATGTACTTGGTTTAACCCATTGTTACAGGAGTTCTCTGCAGCTTGTTCTGGTCCTGGCTTTGGATTGTGAGCAGCAGCACTGCTGATTATGAGGGGTGTGCAAAATACTGGCACAACAGCATGTCCAGTAAGCCCTCAGGGAAAGGGTACTGGAGAAACATGCTGCTCCAGCAGGAGTTTTGCTCCAGTCAAAAAACCCTTGATAATTGTGCTTGAGTTTGTCAGAGGTGTGAAAAGCTGAAATCACCCTGTTCATATCCTTATGTTATTTGAACAGTATCTCTACACTCATCCTTTTTTTTATTTGAAGTGGGCTTATAAATGAAATTCATTGTTCTTGTTCCTTATCAAAGTCTTTTTCAGTGTGTTAATGTCAGACTGCACTGAAATGAGCCTGGTCATGTAAGACTACGTGGCCACAAGAGTACTGATGTGTTACTGTAAAACAGTGTTCAGATTAAAGCTTGCTGATAGAACAGTGACTGGAAATATGTAGGGACAAGGTGAATTCAGTATTTCCTGTGGCCAAATTTTGAATTGATTTTTGAGAGCATTTCTATTGCATTTGCTGTATTTTTACCACACTTTCGATTAAAAGCGAGGCTTAAATGAAACATTTTACCAGTGTTAATGCCATTAACATGTCCCAATTAAGGGGAAAAACATTTATCTGCCCTCTTGATCTGTTCCCTGCTTGACTCATTTTTTACTTCTGATAATTCATGTGCCCATGAAAAAGATGTGCTATCCCTCTATTCAGCAGTAAACAAGCTGTGGACAAAATTTTCTCATCTGCCTCCCCCTATCCCCTTGCAAATGTTTTTATCAGAAGCTGTTTTAAGAATTTTATCTGTACATAAATTACTTGAGTTGGGGAGTTTTTGTTTGCTTGCCTGGTGTTTATGAAATCCATCAGCATTACACGCACAGCTTGGCTGGAGCACACGATTCCCTGCGATGGCACCTAGAGGGAGCAGGACAGCAGCTGTGCAGTGACATTAGCACACATCAGCCAAACGTGCGGGAGGTGAATCCAGGACAGCACATCCCTCTGAAAGGCTGCTCCTGCCACGGTGGGCTGGATGTTTGTGTTTAAAACTGATGGGATGTGGATTAGTCAAGAAACAATGTCTGGGAGTGTAGGACCCCACGTGAAGTGGTGCTGAACTGGGCACAGCAGGCTAAGGGTGAAGCCGTGCTCTGGTGCTGTGATGGGGAGGGTGCCCTCCTCCAAACCCTTTCCCTTTGGACTAAAAATAATTCCACAGCTTGTGTTACCAATGTTTTTCCCAACTTCTGACATACTATTGGTACAGATGCATTTAAAATGGGAGCTGTGATCAGATGGAAAATGCATTTGAATAATGCTTTAGTGAGTGAAACCCAGTAGCACATCCTTTGATCACTGATACAGAAATCATGTATTTAATTCATGTAAATTAAATCTTCAGGAAGAGCACAATTAGTCTGCAGCTTTTCCAAGGAGTGAACATAAGTGGCACAAACAGAAAGAAAGCAGCAGCACACATAACTTTCATTTTTTTCAGACCAGAGCATCTGTGTATAAAATGTCAGGAACTGCATGTTTCTCATTTAGATCTGTACATTTTTGTATGTAAGACTGACATGGTTGTGCTGCATTCTGTGCAGTAGGGAGAAGTCCCAATATGCTTGAGAAAAACAGCTTTTATTTTTTTGACATTGATTTTAAATATTCATTGTTCTCTAAGGCCATTGAAGCTTAACCTGCAAGTTGCATTTTGTATTAGTGGCATCTAACAGAATTTATGAAAGACCTGAATTTCATCTTGCTGTGAACATTTTACAAAACTGAACACAAGGAAATGTGAAGTGTTGCTAAAGCAGATCAGCATTTCCTTTCTTAAAGGAAAGACTTCAGGAAGATCCTGTCAAGCCAAAGGTGTATATTATAAATGAAAAGATGCAATCATGCAATCACTAAGTAACACAAAAAAAGCCTGAAAAGCCAAACCTATTCACTTTGCATTTCTCTATTTAAAATTATTCAACAGGCCACATATCAGTGTTTGGTAGTTGTCATGTTGGCTTTTTTTTTTTCATTCAAAAACTTGTGAAGTTTTTTACTGGGGGCAAGGGGAATATTTGAATGTTGTACATCTACTTAAAATAACTGTGAGCAGTGATATCAAAGTATTAATTCTTTCTATAGAAGACCAAAGATGTATTTGTCACTGCTCTGAAGTAAGACTAATTATTTTATATTTTGGAATATAGGTGTTATAGGCCAAAATGTGTCCCCTATGGTAGGCACTCCAGCACCAGGAGCAAGTCCTTTTGGACAGCAGGTGAGTCATTTTTGCATTATTTATGAGGCTTTAAGGCTCAGAATCAGCATTTGAGCAACATCCCAGCTTAGACATGTAAGGATGCACGTAGGCTTTCCCAGGGAGAACAGAAATGAAATGTTCTGATGTGTTTAGAGCCAATTGATATCTCACACTTAGAGAGTATGTCTGTATTTGATGGTGGCATTGTTGTTACACTCAGGAGGTTTGTTGAGTGAGGTAACTTCAGTACAAACAAGGCAGTGTTTTGTCTCACTTTTCTACTAAACTGTGTAATTTCAGCATACTGTGAAACTGCTGATAATTTAGGTTTTGTGTGCTTTGTGACACGGAGAGGACACTGCCCATTTTATCAGTTGAGGCATAGGTAACAGAATATTCATATTTCACAAACTGATGAAGCAGATGTTCATTGGCAGTTCAGAATTTGTGAGCATGGGTAACTGTGATGATATGATGTTTCTTCTCAGCGATTAATGAAGATGAACTGTTCAGATAATTTCCAATTTTATTGACTACATTTTTGCATCATAAAGAGAAATGTGGTTTTGGCTTGAGGGTGTAGAGAAAGGGAGGGAGAGTTGCTGTGCACAGGCAAATAGTGGTAGGATGGGGGTGGGGGGATGTTTTAAACTAAAAGAGGAGAGGTTCAGGTTAGATGCTGGGAAGAAGTTATTTATTCAGAGGCACTGACACAGGTTGCCCAGAGAAGCTGTGGCTGCCCCACCCCTGAAGTTGTTCAAGGCCAGGTTGGATGGGGCTTGGAGTGACCTGGTCTAATGGAATCTGTCTCTGCACATGGCAGAGGGTTGGAATGAGATGGGCTTTAAGGCCTTTTTCAAGCCAAACCATTCTATGATTCTGTGAGTACTAGAAGTTAAGTGGTAAAGTGTTGATGTTGTGATGTTGAGTTGAGTTATTCCAGACAACAGGATGTCTGTGCTAAGAGTTCTCAGTACTGCTGGTTAATCACAGTGGTAGGAATTCTTCTGTGTGACTGGGAATTTTCCTGCCTGAGATTTTTGCCTGACAGTGATTCTGTGGAAATAACCCAGTTGTCCAAGGATCTGTGTCAGTTTGGATTAGAAGTTTTAGAGTTAAATCTTGCACTTCACAGACCACAGTATTTCAGATCAAATTGGAGAAAACAGGAAATGAAAAGGAGATAGAAGGTGTAATTAAGGCTAGGAGAGAAGAGATATGGTGATGATAACCAGAGTATATTTACATAGATCAGAAATATGAACAATATCTGTTGAGTATGAAGGGTTGGTTTGTACTTCCTTTCTTGGTGCATCTCCCAGCCAAAATGTGCATCTCCAGGGAAATTTTCTCAGGCTTTTGCACATAATCTCAGTTGAAACTCCATTGCATGAGGATGCCCCGAGGCTGGGGTGTGACCCCTGGCTGGCTTTGCATTTCAGATGGGGATCCTGGGCCCGCCGGGCCAGCAGGCGCCCCCGCCGTACCCAGGGCAGAGCCCTGCCAGCCAGCCCGTCATGCAGCAGCCCAGCACCCCCATGTTCGTCTCCCCTCCACCAAAGACACAGAGGCTCCTCCATTCTGAAGCCTACCTGAAATACATCGAGGGGCTCAGTGCTGAGTCAAACAGTATCAGCAAGTGGGACCAGACCCTTGCAGGTAAGGCTTTGGCTTCCTTGTAACCCATTATTTTTGCTTTTATAGCAAACGTGAAATAAAACTGCTGTTTGCTTATTAAAATATATCCATGCAATTAATTCCTAAAGATAAATCAACAGACTGAGAATATATATGTTATCCACAGGCAAACTCCACCAGTGTTGTATAAACCTAAGAATCGGTGGTATGGGTTTAAATACTAAGGGCAAAAGTAGAGTATCTTCTATTGTAGTGTTACATTTACCTTTTTCTAGAATAAACCAGTAGGTAACTGGAGCATTTCTTGGATTTTGCAGCACGGAGACGAGATGTGCACTTGTCCAAGGAGCAGGAGAGCCGCCTGCCCTCGCACTGGTTGAAGAGCAAAGGGGCTCACACCACCATGGCCGACGCGCTGTGGCGCCTGCGGGACCTGATGCTGCGTGACACCCTGAACATCCGCCAGGCCTACAACCTGGAGAACGTGTAGGCACAGCAGCACTCCTGCTCCAGGAGTTCATGGGACAATAGCTGGTTTAGTTACTGGGTGGGAAGAGATAACCAACAATAATTTGTATTGCATTTTACTGTACATTGCAAGACCATTTTTATATAAGGACACTTTTAATAAGCATATTTCACTTTTTGTTATATTAAGTTGACTTTATCAAATACACAGATTTTTTGCATATGTTTCCTTTGTTTGAAAGGCAATTTCATAATTGGTTGAGTGTAGTCAAGGATTCACCTTTCTTATACTTTATTGCTGAGAATCTGATGCCATTGTTTTTATATAAAAAAAAAAGGAAAACAAAGTATTTACAGATTGATACAGTGGAATGTGAATTAGTCATAGTTTACATCCTATAAGAATGTGTGTACCTGTGCTTGTGTGTGCTGGCCACTTTGGGCAGAACTGCTCGGGTGTGAACAGGGAGGATCTCTTAAAAGAAGCTAAAGGTAAGATAAGCTTTGGCATTAAGGAAAACTGGCATTCCAAGTCAACACTGAGGTGGCTGGGTGGGCTCCAGCAGCGCTGGAAGTGCTGGTTGGACGGGACAAGGATGTCTTGACTGCTCATGTTGTCCAGTCCTGTCCAGTTATTTAACTGTGTAGCCAAGGCCATTGTGATCCTAAATCAGTACCACAGTCCCTGTACTGGCAGGCCCTTAGAGGGGAAGTGTTTCATCTGCCATGGCCTGTGCTGGGGGTTCTGCGATGTCCCCAGCAGTGGGACAGGGAAGCTCCTTCCCTGAGAGATTCTGTCTGTGCTGGAAGAGGCTCACAGAACTTGGAACCAGCCCAGGTTTTGGAAGGTAAGTTAGGGGAGAAAAGTGGAGTTGTTCTGTTAGTGAAGTAATGTGATGTTTTTTTAAATTCACACATACTCTGTTCATGATTGGGCATTGTAAGACATTTTTGTATGCTTTCTTTAAGTGTATTCATTAACCTTAGTGAAAGTTCTGCAATGCAAATTTGAGTGAAATTTGATGCTTAAATTAACTTGAAAGTAAAATACTACTGTATGGGATGGTATGTGTAAGGTCAGCATACCCAGTACATTGGAGAAATAGAATACTTGCATTGCAAAGCCCTTCAAAGGGTTTGGGTTGGTTTTTTTTCTTTTCTTTTTTTTTTTTTTGTTGTTTTTTTTTGCTTTTTATCTAAGTAAAGTAGGTATTGACTCTTCTTGCCAAATTTCAAGGTTACGGCTGCCTTCTGCTAAAGATTTACCTGTCCTCATAACTAACCAACCTTTTGGACTACAAAGTTATTTGTTTAAAGGTAAATCCTTTCATTTATTTAATATTGGAAAAAAGAATTAATACTTTGGATTGCTTTTAGTAACTGGGAAAGCTCTATGAATTTGGGAAAAGTCAGCAGGAATGTGGGCACTGCAACTCAGCCCAAATTAACTGATTTACTGATACACTTCATTTATGCTAGAGATGTTCATCATGTGGAAATGAGTTCTAAAGTCTGTTAGTACAGAACATTTTCATTTCAGTATATTTGGCAGAAGGTTAAATTAAATATTTTCCTTCAAATACTGGATATCTTGGGGTTTGTTTTGCTGATGTAATTAATACTCATAAGGGAAGTGACACTTGCAAGTATAAACTGTGATTTAATTTTACTGGCCAATTCCTCTCCCTCTCTTATTGAAATCCTCCAGTCAGTCATTGTACAAAATACCCCTGGTAATTACAAATAGGCACTTAAAGACAGTTTAGGTCAGATGTGAAGTGGATATGAAGGAAATGTAAAAAAACAACACAGAGGGAAATGACAGTTTTGAGCTCTACAAGTAGCACACCCGTGGTACAGAAATTCTTTACTGGCCTTTGTAAATTACCAATTTTATTTAATAAAGTAGAAATTGAATAGTCTTAGACCACCCCTATAAAATGTGTTTAAGTTACCATAGGTTTTGCAGTTTTTAGCCACAAAGATGGGATGTTGAAGTGAATCAGGCAGCAAAATCCTAGTTTTTGAGCATTTGGAACTATCATGGATTGTACTAATACACCACCAGATTCTCCTACTTCTCAGCATTAACAAAAATTACACCAAAGAACCTGGGATGAATTTTAATTAAATTATTGTTTTATTTATTTTCTTTTGAGGACTGGATGGGACTCCCTTTGGAGCCTGTATAACTCAGATGTTTAATTTATCTGAAGGTCAGTGATGAGCAGATGTGCAGCACTGGCTCTCTCCTGCTGAGCAGCCGAATCCCTCCTTTCACTGCTCTTTCTGGCCCAGGAGCAAGAGATTGGAAGTGCAAACGAAACCTGGCTCCTCCTTCATCAAGGCAGTGCAGAGCACTACCACTAAGCCACTGGGCTGGCCCTGATCAATTATTTTAAGCCTTATTTATTTCAAAATCGTTTCTCTCTAAACTGGAGGCATTTCAGTTGATTGCAGTGAAATTTAGGATATAATGGCTACAGTCTAGAATTCAAAACCAGCAAAAGAAACTTTTCTCACTCTGGTTTAAAAAAAAAAAAAAGACATGTCTATCTGTCTTTTTCTCTCTCTGTGGGTGTTTGAGCCCCTCATCTGTTTTTCACTGCCGTTCATTGTACTAGCGTAAACAAAACTTTCATATTAAAATAAAAGGATGTGTGGGCAATGGTTGGCTTCTGTGAGAGTGGAAAATAGATAAAACTAGGACAGGTATTTTCATAAACCAGTTGGAGACAACTAATAATTATTTGTTCTCTTCCTCAGTCCTTCCCTTCCATGAGAAAATTTACTGTTTGTGTAAAAATTCAAAACGTTGATGTTGGTGACTTTTTTTCAGCATATGTTTTTGTACCTGGTTTATCCATGCTTGGCTTTTCATTAGATCTTGTACTCCTGAAGGCTGAGCTGCTAACCAGGTTTATAACATGTATGTACCATCACTTTGTTTACCTGTGTCTTTTTAATTTGAATAAAAATAGTTTGCAAAGTGTTTTGGATTTAACCAGGTTTGACTGTTCCATTAAGATTTCTGTTAGAATTTTATTTCAAGTAATTCTGGCTGTTGCTGATCCAGATGTTCTCAAGTCCTTGGTACATGTGTGCTTGTGTGTGGATAAAATATCCTTTTTCTATTGTCCTGTGTTTTTTTGAGATGTGCCTGTAGGTGATAAGAACAGTGGTGTTGAAAATTGAGCCATAATGAGCATGAACAGTGAACCTTGAAAAATATGTGAAGCATTGGGAACCAGCTGAGTGGAGGTTGTAAGATTCAGTCAGTCCCAGATGTCCCTGTATTAACTGGATTGAAAATAAACAGCAAGCCTTAATTTCATATGGAAGCTAATGTGGTTCAGGACTGTCTTCCATGTAGCTGTTTAATAGAGGAAATTAGATGAGTAACATGAAAAAAGCATCTTTTACGCAATTAAGTTAGAATCAAGGATAGAAATTTTCTGTATGAACTATGAGAAAAAATAAGTGATAGGAATCTCTCAAGGTGCCTGGCATAAAATTCACAGAGAGCTATTTAAACAGTCAGAACATAGCATTATTTAATTAACACACATCCATGTTTTCAGTCTGGGGTATAAATGCTGCCTTTCACACAGGCTGCCAGTTTTGTAACACTTCTGCCCTTCTGTTGCAGTTGCCCAGAGGAAACTAATTCTAATCATCCTCCACATCTTATTTGCTCAGTCTGAGATACTAAAGATCAACCATAAATGCATGTAGCTCCCTCTTGGCTGCAAGTGCACAAAATTAAAGTTTCAGAATGTCTGGGCACTGAACATTGTGGAATGGGATGTGGTTCAGTCATGCACATGAAATTTTGATTAATAAAACGAAACCTTATATTCATTTTGTCAACTGCATTTTCCAGCAAGTCTAATTTGACCCTCATCTTTGGTATAAAGCACCAACATCCAGTACTGATTTCAGGAAGTTCCTCAGGAACAGCATTCATTTCACCAGTGCTGTGAAGATATTTTTTTCCCCCTTTCCCTGAAGGAGCTGGAGATGGCCATAAGCAGAGTGCAGATACAGTTTGGATCTGTGTATTAAGTCCAAAGTGAAAGCGTGCCTCCACTGATGACAGGAAGAGTTTTGCTCCAAAGAAAAATTTCCCAATACATCAGATGGCTGTTACTTTCTGTTGCTGCTTTTGAAAATCTTGGAGAAAACTGCTGCAGCCCTGTACCAGGGAGGAGTGCAGGCTGGGTACAAACACCCTTCCTTGACCATAACTTCTTCCAGCTCTTCTGCAGGCTTTTCAGCAGACAGCTGCATCCTTGTGCACACAGCTGCAGGGGAATGATCAGCAGATCCATTTTTTCCACAGAATCATTCTGGATTGGTGGTGGTTGTCCTCTCTCTAATGCTGGAGTGGTGAGCAGCACTGCTTGTGCATTAGGTATCACTGTTTATTCCAGATGACTTTTTACTGCTGCTCTCTCACCGAAATGGATTTTTCCATGCTCAGTATCCATCTTGCCCCAACTTCCAGAGTTTGGAAAGCTTGGAGCAGGAATGCTTTGCTGAGTCTCAGAAGCTGTTGTGGCTGCTGCAGAACACATGAAAATGCTGTTGGTCGGTGCAGAGCTCCGCTCCAGGTGGACACCGGCTGAATTCCCTGCTGAAGGAAGGGATGTGGTCAGCCCTGGAGCTGGCAGGGGCCTGGCAGGGCTAGAAGTGAAAGCTGTGACCCTGGCTCACTGCAGCAGCCTGGAACAGCCACACGGTGTTCCCTGAGTGCCGAGCCAAAGGAGAGCTCTTGCTTACTCTCCGTTTCCTTTGCCACAGCAGGTGGATGGGGGAAGCGGGAGGATGGGAGTGATACAGGGATATGAGAGTCAGAGAGAACTGGGGAAGGCAAAGAGCACAGAATTAGGAGTCAGCAGGAATAAAATGGCAAAACCAAATGCAGACTTTGGTTGTTGAAGATGGGGTGTATTTTGAACTGATACTAAATCCCCGAGTGTATTCAGCTGTGGAATAGGCTGGGATTCTGGAATGGGGAGTTGCAGCTATTCTGATGTCCAGCATTAGTGACAGACTGGTGAAATCTAAAAATACCAAAGGGTCAGCACTAGCAAGCACACTCAGGATTGGAGACTGCAGCTCAGATTTCTAAATGTCAAGCTTCATACTGTGTCATAACAGATCTGTGTTGCCTGAAATGGTACAGTGCCAGAGGATTTTATTCCTGCAGCAGTCACCAAGACCAGTGACACGGAACTCCCTGACACCAGACATCTTGTGAGTGACTGCAGCCTCTCTCCCTTTCTGTTTACCTGCTTCAGACATCCCAGAGATCTTCCAGATGTGCCTGGTGCTCTCAGCTGCCAATGGGAAACAGTCACTGCTAAACAAGCTAGAGGTCTGAAGTGAGAACTGGGCTTGGCTCACAGCTGTTTGTGGAACACTGCTACAATTACAGGAGTGCTTAAGGGAAGCCACAGGAAGTTTTCACATCAGGCTCCCGAGTCCTGAGAAATAACTAGGGCACAGGGCTCTTGCTTGAAAAAAACTCCATATATTGAACAACTTACTTGTTTTATGAAAACAGAGCACAAGAGAATTTCAAAAGGCTCAAGAAATAAAATCAGATGAAGCTAAAGCTCAGCAGTTTTCAAAATCTGGCTTTTTTATTATTGCTTTATTCTTGAATGTACTGCTATGGTTAGGGTTGACGTCAGTGCGATGATCTGTGATTGCAAAAAGCAGCTTGTTCATGAGTTTTGGGCTCTACCTCAGAACTAAAGTCAAAGTTATTCTGAAATAGAGGCTTTCCTCAAGGGATTCACTTGCTGCTCAGTCAAAATATGCAGTGACACAGTCAGATCTTTAATTCTGTCCGTTTTTATCCCTTGAAAACACAAGTAGCCCTAATACTCTAGATCAAGTCCTTGGAAGGCACAATACAAAGGTTCCCCTTAGTTTGCAATTGGAGAACCTACACCCTGACCTCTACAGAGCTGCCCTTGTCTCTGCAGTTGATGAAGACTTACAAAGCCTCATAGGAGGCAGCACAGGAACACCTGTAAGGGCATGAACTCCCTCAGGGTTGGTTTTAGGCTGATTATAAGACTTGGCTTCTTTGTTGCACCATCAGCCTGCACCCCTACCCTCTGCACCAGTCACCGACCCCACCCACGCTCCCGGTGTCACTGCGGGAGCAAACACTGCTGGAACACAGCAGGCAGCTCTGTTCTCCTGCCTTGTGGCCAGAATTTCCACCCCAGGACTCAGGGATGCCAGAACTGACACTGCACATTGCTCTGGCCACTGTCAGATGTGGGCAGCACAGCCCAAGCACACTGGTCACTTTCCAAGCACTGTGGGCTGAGCAGTAAATCTTGGCTCTCTTTATCCAGTTAAAATTGTCTCACACTGCAAAGAAAACAAATCGGCTGTCAGAGCAGTTCCTGTAAGTACAAAAGAAACTAACTCAAAATTACTATTTCTATTATGCTGACATGGATGCACTGTGTAATGTTTCTTTCCCACTGGTCTTTTCACAAGGGGGTGTTTCACCAAGCTAACAAAAGCAACAGCCAGACTGTTTGCTCAGTTTAGTTTATTTAAAAGCACTAAGCAAACATTAAATTAGTGGCAGAGGCCCAAATAGAATGAATTTTTCACTTCATTTAAATACAGATATTACAGATACGGAAGAACAAAACTGCCCAAACCATCTGAGCATATTACACGAACGTGTGGATCGCAGTTCATGTTGCAGAGCCAACATCTTCCACCACTGTCAACGTGGCACTGCTGCTGCTTTGGCACGTGTACAGTTGAAGCACTCAGGAGCTCCCCCCTGAAGAGATTCAGCTAAAATTCCCCTTTCTCCATCCTTGCCTCGTACAGTCTTTCAGATCTTTTCCTACGGTAAACATCATCTGCAGAAAAAGATGTTTTAGATTAGAGTTTCCCCACTGCAAAGTGGTGTTAAATGCATGAATCCTGTCATCTCTTTTTAAACTTTTCAATCCAAATTTATCTTGCAGATGCTGACTGACAGGCAACTGGAAATTCAAGCCAACAGAAATCCTTATTACCACTTAAAATAGCTCATGTTCTCTCTCTCATACAGGTGAAAGTTCTTCCCATCAGTCCCAATGAAACGTTTTTCTAGGAAAACTAAGTTTCCAGTGAGAAACAGTTGTTTCTTGTCTACTTTCCCATGAGGGTAATTAAAATTAAAATGCCCTAACTAGCTGAAGGGAAATTAAATTACAGGCATGAAGTTAAAGCCTGAGGGCTTTCAGCCTGACTTTGGTATTCTGGTCTCTTTTATATAAACAACATACAGGAATATTCCCAACTCCATAGTTTTCCTGCCTGCCCACTCCCTGACACCATGTACAGTTGAGCTGATCCTTTCAGGGAAATACACAAAAATTTCTAGCAGGATTTATTAAAGTGAGAATGTCACATTAGAAATACTTTGATTAATAGAAACTAAATGCCATTAGCCAAGTTGTCATGAGCCATCTTCATACTTATTTTTTAAGTTGTAAAAGTCATGTTTCAGATGATGCCACACCTCTGCTTAAATGCTGGCAAACCTCATGAGTCTTTTTCAATGATCGCAGAATGCTTTATGCTGATAGGGACCTTAAAGATCACCTTGCTCCATCCCCATGGATAATGACACTTCCTGATAGACCAGTTTTCTCCAAGCCCCATCCAGCCTGGCTTTGGACACTTCCAGGGCTTCTCTGGGCAACCTTCTGCCGGGGCCTTGCAATCCTCAGAGGAAAGAATTCTTTTCCTAATATCCAATCGAAATGTACCCTCTTTCAGCTAAAATTGTATCCGGCACTCTAAACTCAGGATTTTTTTTCTGTTTCTGCCCAGTGTTTCTGCTGGGGAGGCAGAGCCTGAAGGGCCCCATCCTGCCCGAACACGAGCAGTGTCTGAGCGCAGGCCGGGGCCCTCCAGCCCGGCCCGGGCCCCGCTGGCCCCGTTGGTTCGGGGGGAGGGAGCGGCGGGTCCGGGCCGCGGGGTCCCCGCACTCACAGAAGGTTTCTCCGCCGACGCGGACGTTGATCATGAACCACTCCATGGCTCCGCCGAGCACGAAGAAGAAGGGCAGGAACCTGTAAAAGCCAAAGCGCCGCTGCCCGGGCACCACCTTCAAAAGGCGCTTCACCCTCTCGCTGACCAGCATAGCCAGGCAGCGCCGCCGCCTTCGCCCTTCCCGGGTGGAGAGAACAGAGGGGGGCGTGTGAGAGGCGGAATGGGACGTGCCGCAGCCGGTGTCGCGCGAGGAGCGGCCCCGGCCCGGGCGGGCCCCGGCCAAGCCCCCGCGGCCATGGCGGCCCCTCGGGCCCCGCCGCCCCCTCCCCTGAGGCGGGAACGCGCAGCCAATCAGGGCCGCGACCCCGCGCCGCGCACCGCTCACCGCTCACCTCCCGCGCGAGGGCTCTGCGCGCGGCCGGACGGAAGGACGCGCCGAGCGCCCACGTGACCCCCCCAGCGCCTCGCCTGATTGGGCGGGGCGGGGCGGGGGCGGGGCCTGGCTTGAAGGACCAGGCCCCACCCACCGAGCGCCGCCCGGCCCCTCAGGGCGGGGCGCAGCCCGGCCCGGCCCCTCGCACCGGGGATTGGCCGCCCGGCGGTGCCGTCGCGGACCGGGCGGCGGAGCGGAGCAGCCCCGGTTGTGCGCGGTGCCCCCAGGCTGCGGCGTCCGGTGGGGCAATGGCGGCGCTGGGCTCAGCTGCGCTGCGGAGGGGCGGCAGTGCGGCCCCCCGGCTCCTCGCCGTGGCCGTGTCCTGCCAGAGCTGCCGGCACAAAGCCACCGGGGATGGTGGGCACGGGCAGCCCCGGGAGCAGCACCCGGCGGCCCCTGGCAGAGCCGGCGGCCAGCCTGTCCCGGCCGAGGGCTCCGACACCAAGACCTACCTGTGGGCCAGGTACCACGAGATGAAGAAGCTGGTTTACGGTAAGGCGGCCGCCACGTCCTGCCGGGGCCGGCCTTTCCATTCTTTTTTTCCCTCTCCTTTCTCTTCCTTGCGTCTCGGTGCCTTTCCCCGCCCCGCAGCCCTGGGGACTTGCCCGTGCTGTGGAGCTGCTGGGGAGCCTTTCTCCCCAGCGATGCCATCCACATCTTCCATTGCCCGCGGCTCGCTGGGATGGTTTTATTTCAGTGAAATCTGGTCTTGATCTTCCTCTCTCCATCCTCGGCTTCCTTCTGTGCAGATTCCCCGGCTGGACTCAGGACACGCAGTGTATATGGGACTTTTCATAACTAGCCTCCTTTGCATCGTGGGCTTTGTTATAGCAAATGGTCTAAACTAGGGGCTTGTTGCCTTTTTCTCCGGTTTTCCTTTGTCTGGCATATGGAATCGCGGTTGGACTGGGACAAATAGATGGGGATGCTGAGTGAAGGGGTGACAAGTCCAAATCGCCACTGGCACCAGGGTGAGCCTGGAGAACACTGATGGTGCAGCTCCTGGGGTGGGTCCTGATCCTGAGCTCAGTTTGTGCTCCACACGTGTCACGCCTTTTCTTCATGTGTGCGTTTTTGCTTCTCTGACCAAGAAGTTACCTGGCTCTGTCGGGTACTTTGAAATCTTGCCAAGTGAGGAGAAAATTCAGACTGTTTGCCAAATCTGTCTGTGTGGAAAACAGGATTGTGGTCTTTTTGGCAGCAGTAGACCTCCACTGTATTAAACTCTCCTGAAAATAGCCTTAATGACATGAGGGCAAAGAACTATTTCCTGTTGGTTTCTTGATTCATGGGATGCTGAAGGTGAGCACTGTGGAGAGCTAGGAAGTGTGAGTTTGTGCCTGCTCTTACAGAACTCTTCGTTAGCTTTTGTTTACCTAAGGGCTTGGATAAGGGCAGCAGTCAGCATCTGGAAGAACTTTTTCCCTGTTCTGAGATCGGCAAGGTCTGTCATTCCTTCCTCCCCCATCTTACAGTCCACTGGATTTGGCATAAAATCTCGAGTCCTTTATGATGCACAAACGTAAAAGAATTTGCTGCTGATCTAATAGGTGTTTAGCCTGCTGCATTCCAGGATGAAAGCTCCTTTCCCAGCACTGTTGAAGGCAGTACAGAATATTGACAGAGGACTGGAGCTTTGATAATACCCTCCAAGACTGAGCTGTGGTTTTAGCCCTACTGCTTGAAAGAAATTCCAATTTGCAATGCTTGTATTGCCGTTTGGAGCTTGCTATCCTCAAAGGCATTATTTACTTTTCCATAATGGAATTGAAACTATAAATGCAGATGTGTGTTAATAGGCTGTGTCACAGCCTCTTGGCAAAACACTTGGTTTGCTACGTGAGACTGTGAAGTTTGTGTTCACATAACTCTGTTGGGATGCAAGAGATACAGTTATTAATTGAGGTGGAGCAGTAATCACCAGCAGTAAATGCAAAACGAAGTCGGGTGAAGTAGCCCAAGTGTTAGAAAGCAGACTCTTCACAAACCTTCAGGTAGCCATCAGATATGTTGAATAAGGCCCTCGTTTGTTTCAAGAGTAGCTCCCCAAACTAAAATTTCAAGACAGTGCTGTTATTCAGATCTTGTCAGGAAGAGACAGAGCTTTGATGAGTAAGCAGTTGTGCAGAATGCGGCATCAGTCTGTTCCTTTGTGCTTGGTTTCTAACTGGTGTGAAGGTGAATGTCTGTGCTTGGCTGCTCAGTATTGCCCAACACTGAGTTGGGGCAGACTCCTGAGGTGCCTCCTCCTTCCCTCTCTAAAATGCCAGCTTTGTGCAGTCCCTTGTCCTTGTGTTGGTTATTGCCACTGGTTTGGAGAGAGGTCTCTGCCAGGAGAATTCATTGTGTGTTTTCAGACCAGCCCTTGCTTAGGACCAGATCCACGGAGCACTGTTGCACTTTGCACGATAAATGCTGACTGAGTTGGACGGGGCAGGATGTGCCGGACGAGTTTCTGTGCAGTAAAGCTGAGGGGTGGTGCAGGTTTGGGCCAAAGAAGCACAAGAAGTTCTCAACTCTGTAAAAACACATCTGTTCTCTGCCAGACTGGAGTGGGGTGATACAAATGTTGCTACACAAAGAGTGCCTCTGAGGTAGAACCTCCTCTCAGTGTTGACTCAAGAGAAACCACACTCTTCGTTATCCCCCTGCCTATTGCAACAGTAACTCTTTTGGCCACATTTCAGTACCCGTAGAAATTTGAGGCACTTACTGTGCTTTTTTTACTCTGGCGAAAGGAAAAGTAAATTTACATTAGTCAGAGAGATGGAGTTGAGCAAGACTTTGCTGTTTTCTGATCTGATAAATGTAAAGGAAGGCTGATAAGCTCTCTCAGTAGGCTTTGAAGTCTTGCACTCTAGGAAAAATCCAGTCCTGAAACAAGGGGACTGCCAAGCCAGTGACTCTTTGGCTATAAACATTTGTTTTTTCTTAGGTGTTCCAAATCTGTTAACAGAGGCTACACTAACTCAACTTTCCTCGGGAACTTTTACAATATCTGCAAACTTCTTGCCTCTGCATGACAAGCTTGAGCACGGTTAAATATGAGAACAGCCAGAACTGGAAGATTGACCAGTTACGTAAACTTCACAATTCTGCTTTCTTGGATATAGCTCATTTTTTCTTGTAAGAATTCTTGTAGCATTTCTCTAGTACCTTTGTATATTTTTAAAATGGGATTTTGTAATGAAATTATATTTTTTTTAATATTGCTTTTAGCTAATGGAGATATCACTAGCAGGAAATCCCAAAATATTTAGGCATAATGGCATAAATCCAAGGTCTTTTAACATGGTTTCTCTGAAATTAAATGGTCTTTAGATAATATTTTTCCCTTCCTACCCTATTGGTAGAAGGAACTGCTTTGGCTGGTGGGAGTGCTTTGCAGGAAATGGCACAAAACAACACTTCAAGAGGATAAACGAGTGCTTGGAAGGGAGGAAAACTGGCAGTTTGTCTTTAGAAAGCAACTTAGTGTGAACAAGGGAAACTTTTTGATTAATGAAGATCATGGAGGATAATGGCCATCTGCTTGTCTGTACCCTTCTTTTCCCTGCTTGTCATACGAAGAAATTAGTACAGATGTCTGCTGTGTTCTGGGAGTATAAAGGGTGTGGGAGATGCGGGTGAGTTGCCTTGTTTATGTAGAATTCTTCACTAACATGCTGGATCTGGGGCTGTGAGAGAACAGGAACATTTCTCGCAAGATGCTGTTGGCACCCCGGGAGCTCAGAAAGGCAAGAGACGTGCTTGGCACCTCCTGCTCAGAGCGTTTTTCACATCAGAAGGGGCCAGATGGTGTCTCTAGTGGCTGCTCACAGTTAATTACCTGCTTTTGTTTCCATCTCTGCTCTCCTGTTGGGGATTGAGGGTTATTGCTTTCTAACAATGTGGTTTATTGCCTGGGTAGAGACACCTGTACTCTCATGGAGACACTCTGATTTAAGCAGTTGTCCAGGTTCTCACAGGGGGAAAATGAAGTTTTGTGTTTACTTTGCATTAGCACCCAGGTGTAAGAGATACACGAGATCAAACATGCTTTCTTGTGGTCTGCCTTTGCTGCTGAATTTCACCATGTGCCGTGGACATGCAGGCACTTCCCTAAAAGCTGTCAGAGTTGCAAACAGGAGCAAATTGTGCAAACAGGCAGATTCCTGGGGCTGCATCCAGTGCAAGAGCAGCTTTTTCCTCTATCCTCCGATGTGTTCACACTGCTTCTTTAGATCAGACTTCCTGGGTGAACTGCTGAGTAGGCAGTGAGTAACTGATATTGTCTGCCTTTCTAGTTAGGACCCAGACAGAAAGAGTAGTTGGGATTATTTTTCTTTTTTAATAGCCAAAACTGGTCTTCATTTTGTTTTGTGTGGTTGTTTTCTTTAATTTATCATACCTGTCCAGCAATCTGTTATGGTGTCTTGGCAGATGAAAAGCAAAAGCTATCGTTATTGAAAAATGGCATCTTCGTGAATTTCTGGTGGGTGTCTGTTTGTTTTGATTTGACAATTGCCAGGAAATCTGAGACAAAGATCCCTGGCAGATTACGTGCAGAGCAGCAGCACCCAAGCCTGCAGCCCAGGACTTGATTAAGCACTAAGGATTGGTAACCACCCAGGAGGTTATCTTTGAAAAACAAACACCACAAAAAAGCAAACTAAACCCCCAAACAAACACAATTAAACCAAGCTTCTTGAAACCTGGCTCAGTAACCCTGAGGCATTTTTGGGATCTTGTATTGAAACTGATTTTGCTTGTGCTCTCAGGCTGTGTCTTTTCCCTGCTGTAGTTGGACTCCCTTCATGGAGACTGTGTGAGTTTGAGGAGATGGAGACCTGCAGCTCTGAGGAGCGTGCGCATGCAAAAGGACATTTACACTGAGACAAATGTGCATCATTAATCTCAAGACTGAACTTCAGAGATTTCCTGCTTCCCAGAAGAGCAGTGGCTTTGAAATTACTGTAAATTCAAGATGTAGGATGATGGGGTGGACAGAGCAAGCTGCGAGTTGTGAGTGATGTGGAATAGAAAACA